ATGGAATTTCTACCCCCCACAGCCAAGCAAGCCCAGCGCATGTTAGTCACTTAAAGCAGATGCACGCAATAAAATTAACCAACAAAACATTAAACAGCATTAAAATCTTCAAGTGCACAATGGTTTACATAAGAAGGACAGGAAGGGGGAAGAGGAGGATGACATGGAGCTATGGGGGCTGAGACCGGGGAACAGAGGCTCAAAGAGATGGCGACTGCCTTCCGGGCGAAGGAACTAGGTGTGGAGGAAGAGGCCACAGGCAAATCAGGACAAATGATCTTCATTGTGTTACCACTCTGCAAAGGTAAAGGTAAAGGTAAAGGGACCCCTGACCATTAGGTCCAGTCGCAGACAACTCTGGGGTTGCGGCGCTCATCTCACTTTACTGGCCAAGGGAGCCGGCGCACAGCTTCTGGGTCATGTGGCCAGCAGAACTAAGCTGCTTCTGGCGAAATCAGAGCAGCGCATGGAAACGTCGTTTACCTTCCCGCTGGAGTGGTACCTATTTATCTACTCGCACTTTGACGTGCTTTCGAACTGCTAGGTTGGCAGGAATGGGAGCTCACCCTGTCACGGGGATTCAAACCGCTGACCTGATCGGCAAGTCCTAGGCTCTGTGGTTTAACCCACAGCATAATACCAGACATAGTCTGATGCCCGCATAAGTTTTGTGCAAGCAAATAAGGATGAATAAACAGGTCATCTGGGAAAGCACTGGGTTTTACAGAATCTGAATTCTGCACCACATTTGCCATTCTGACCAGTTCTGAACTGCCTTGAGATGCTTGCACAGAGCTGGTAAAAACAGGAAACTAAGCAGGGACCTAAAACGCTATGCAACTAAGCAGTTGGTGGAATACCAAGCATGTACAGTGGTACCTCGAGTTAAGAACTTAATTCGTTCTGGAGGTCTGTTCTTAACCTGAAACTGTTGTTGTTGTTAACCTGAGGTACCACTTTAGCTAATGGGGCCTCCTGCTGCCACCGCGTGATTTCTGTTCGCATCCTGAAGCAAAGTTCTTAACCCGAGGTACTATTTCTGGGTTAGCGGAGTCTGTAACCTGAAGCGTCTGTAACCCGAGGTGCCACTGTACTTCATGATCTTGGATGACCTTACCCTGTTTATGACCTCAAAATTCCACAGAATTGACCGAGATGGGGCATTGCACTTTTTCTCCGTTGCCGAGTAAACAGAACTGCCAGATGTTCCTCGTTAAAAACAGCTGCATCTTGCTCTGCTTCTCTTTTCAGGAGTTCCCCTTCATGTAGATTCCCTCCAGAGCTGAATTCTCCAGAGTGGACAAATCCCATCTGGCAGCTCCTTCCCCTGAGAAAATCTACAGCCGGAATGGGGACGTCCCCCCGAGAGTCCGATTTTTAAGGTTCACAAAACAAGACGTTGCCATCTGCATCTCCTCTTCCCCGTCTCTCCCTCATCAGCAAAACAAGACAGCCAGAGCCTTCGTGCTGTTCAGAACTGTATCCCCTGGAGAAATCTCTATTCCTAAGGGCAATTTCTATTCCTGCCTCTGTACGGTTTTCTTTGTTTGTTTCTCCAGATGAAATATGACCCCCTGGGCTGGGAAAAGGTTGTCATCACTGAGACAGCCATTTCTTGGGTTCCAGCTATCCATCCCCTCAGCAGATACTGGGAGATTTATGTAGTGTAAGTGATGTATCAACAGAACAACAAACATAAAACAAGGACAGTCGGTCCTTGCCCCAAGAGCTCGCAGTCTAAATTTTGACAGCAGGGGAGACGATAACGAAAGACCAGAAAGTATGCAGGGAGGAAAGAGCTGGTGCAAAACACCACCGAGAAAGGCAGAGTGGAGTAGCAGTTAGTGTGTGGGAAGAAGACCAGGGATACCTGGAACGATATCCCTGCACCTTAAGCAACTCTCTTCTTCTCAACCTGAACTACCTTACAGGGTCGTTATGAGGATAGGATTTGAGCTCCTTTGGCAAAAAAGGCAGCATCAAAACTGTTGTTTCCTCATCTCATCTTACCTGCATGGATCATGATCGTTTTCAAATTGATAAATGTCTTTTTTTCCTTTGCCATGTTCCAATAATAATGATAATAATAATAACAACAACTTTTATTTGTATCCTGCCCTCCCCAGCCGAAACCAGGCTCAGGGCAGCTAACATCAAATGTATAACATTAATATAAAATCAAACAATAATTAAATTACCTCCTAAAAACAAGTCAGGATCAAATTAAAATCTAATTAAGTGGCTTTCAATACAAAATTGATAAGGATAAATTCTGGAGTGAGAGGCTACTCAACAGTTCCAGTCAAGTAATTTGGAGCAAAACAGCGGTCAGTAGACCACGATCTTTATTGTTGCACAACAGCTTCCCACAGGAGTTTTAAATTGCCCGCCCTGGAGTCCAAGACCACCCCCAGAAACATCATACATACATCACAGAAGGGGTGTGGCCCAAGACCACCCTCTTAATGCATCAGAGAAGGGGCGGAAATCTGGATGTCTTGATTCTTCCTGTCTGCCAGGTTACCTGATTGGATTACCTGGGCATCCTGGCCACTCTTTTGTTATGCTAACTACTCCATTCCTGAATCCAGGTGCCAGGTCCCAGGCTCACACCTTGTTCATATCTTAAATGTGCCCTTAAGACAGGATTTGTGAAAGAGACAATGGGGAGATTTCCCATTTCCTTCCACCGAAACATTTGAGGTCATTTTGGGAGAGAGAAAATGGTTTCAGGACATTTTTGTGGGTTTCAGACATGTGGTTTACATATTGTATGTGTTTGCTTGGTATGTTTATGAACATCTAATATATATATGACTTTAAAATTCTTATAACAATTGTGGTAAGAATTTTAAGGTCTTAGATGTATAATAAATGTTCATTAATGTACCAACCAAGCACGTACATAGATCAGCACAGGAAAACCGACCTGAAACCATTTTTGATTCCCAAACTGACCAAATGTTTTCTCTGCAAGGTCAAAGGAAAATGGAAAAGCCTCCCCCTTGTCTTTTCCTTCACAAATCCTGTCTTAAGGGTATGTCTGTGTGTTTGAATAGGGTGAGCCTGTGACCTGGCTCAGGAACTAAGTGTTTATCATTACAAAAGACTGGCCAGGCTCCCCAGGGTATCCAGTCAAGTAAGCATTAACAGGTAACCTACCAGACAAGAGATAAAACGATGACAGGAGATAAACAACACACTCAGATTTCTGCTGTAGACCACCCTTTCTGTGATGTAGGTATGATGTGTCTGGGGGGTGGTCTTGGACTCCAGGGAGGGAATTCAAAATGTCTATATAAGGCCTTGTGTGCCATTGTTCTGGGTTCCTCCTCCCTCCTGTGTATGGTGAGCAAGGAACCCTGTTGCAACAGATCAATAAAACAGATCAAGCTTACTAGCTCCTTTGCTTCTCAGTATTCTCTGGTTGGCCTCTGTTATTTTCTCCTACCAATAGGGAACCTACGTAAGGACTCTATATGGGCTCTTGGATACCCCATAAGGGGGAAAAGGGCAGATTTTTGTTTACAACACAATCACCTGAGAAGTAAAGATAGTCATTTATTTCAGGGGTGGGGAAACGTGTGGCTCTCAGGGACTGGTTGAGAAGTGTGCATGCGGAGAAGCAGGGGCTGGAGTCTGACTTGGGAGAGGGGGGTAGTGGTTTGTGGGCACTTGTACCAGCCAGGAGGCAAGAGTCAGAGGCTGGGGAAGCTTCAGAGCTGGAGGGTGGAGCACAGTATGGGTCAGAAGAAAAGGAAGAAGAGGCAGGTCAGGGAAGTGAAGGGCTGGGCACTTCCCCACCCTCTCCTGCACCATTCTCCCTGAACCAGGAGAGGACTGAAAAGGGAGGAGCAGAGGAAGTTTGCACACAGGCGCAGTCTCCAGCTGTGTGCATGCAGCTCTTCAAGGGAAGGTACATAAAGTGGGGGGGAGGGGCCCCCTGTTGCTCCAACTGCTTCATACAGTGCAGACCTGGGAATAGCTGCCTAGGTAACCAGAGCTGTAGAAGAGACTGTAATTGTTATGCTTGATAATAAATACAGTGGTACCATGGTTTACGAACTGAATCCGTTCCGGAGGTCTGTTCTTAAACCAAGGTGTGCTTTCCCATATAACCTTACAGGTGTATAATACCATTTTTGAACCAACTTCAAGAGAAGGAGGATTGGTTTGAGAAAATATTGAATTATTTGGGCAGGTTTGAACAATTTAGGGTAAGTAAAATGTTAAAAAGTTAAATAAACCATATGGAGGGAGGAGTGTTAAGGTATACAGAATTGTACATGTGGTTGATTTGAATAGGTTATTATTGATTATGTATACCCAATGTATCAGCCGCCTGGGGGTTTTCACTGTTTGTTTTCACTGTGTTTTGGTTGTTGGTAAAAATAATAATAATAATAATTTTAAAAAAACCTTTAAAAAAATAACAAACAGAATAAACTCGGTATTACAAAAGAAAAATAAATAAATGGAAAATAGTCAGATGAATGAAACGGATGGTTCCTGCGGCTTGATCCCACCAGGCACGTCATTTACTCACGAGTAAGCCCACCTGAATTCAGCGGGGCGCCCCCTGGGGCAATGAAGGGGCTGAGGAGCCTTGGCAGGCCCGCAATCCCGCGCGCAGCTACTGGGGAGTAAGCCCCATTCCACGCCATAGGGCTTACTTCCGAGTAGAACGGCCCGGGCTGCCCCTTTGGGGATCCCCTCCGGCTCCTCCCAACCACCTTTGACCCACATCCCAGCGCCGCCATTGGCCTTCCCCAACTCCTACGTCACACACCCCGCCGGCCAATCCCCTCCGGTTGCGCCCCAGACCGGGGAAGAAGCGACGAGCCGTAATTGGCCGAGCGCGATCACGTGACGGGGCGCCATTTTTCCCCCCTCCTCCTCCGCGTCGCCGCCAGCCGCGTAACACGTCACTGTTTCCCCTTCCTCCGCCGGCACGTGACCCGGGCGGCCCAATCCCAATTTCCTCCATGGCGCGCCTTCTCGCGAGATTTCCTCTCTCCACACCCCCCCACCCACCTTGTACGCGCGCGACGCGGTTTTGTTTTTGTTTTTCCGGTTCTCGTCCGCCGCCCGCGCCGGTTTTCCTGGCCCCCGGAGAGGCCCTGAGGCGGCGGCAGGAGCGGCGGGAAGCGGGAGGCCTCCGGAGCAGCGCGGTGAGGGAGGAGGAGCAGGGAGGGGACGAGGCCCGCCTGCCGCCTCCCTCAGGGCTGGGCAAGGCCCGGGGCTGAGGGGGCGGAAGAGGAGGCCTGGCTTCCCGGGCCCGTCGCGGGTCGGGGCCCCCAAGCGCCTTTGCAGGGGGAGGGAGGGGGTGGCTCGGCCTGCTCCGCAGAATGGTCGGAGGGGGGTGGGTGGGAGGGGGCACCCCCAGAGGTCATCTAGCCCAACCCCGTGCCGCGCAATGTTGTGGTTTTGCTTTTGGGTTGGGGTTTTTTTTAAAAAAAGGTTGTGAACCACCCTGAGATTGTCGGGCGGAGGGGGGCGTACAAATTTTACTAGTAGTAGCAGTAATAATAATTATAATGGGGTCGTACCTGGAAGAGGAAGGGTCCCTTTCTTGTGGCTCTCGGTGGCTTTCTTGTTTTGTTTATTCCGCCGTTTTTGTTATACAGTGGTACCTCGGGTTACATACACTTCAGGTTACAGACTCCGCTAACCCAGAAATAGCGCTTCAGGTTAAGAACTTTGCTTCAGGATGAGAACAGAAATCGTGCGGTAGCAGCAGGAGGCCCCATTAGCTAAAGTGGTGCTTCAAGTTAAGAACAGTTTCAGGTTAAGAACGGACCTCCGGAACGAATTAAGTACTTAACCCGAGGTACCACTGTAGTAGCAGTAATAATAATAATAGTAATGGGGTCGTACCTGGAAGAGGAAGGGTCCCTTTCTTGTAGCTCTCGGTGGCTTCCTTGTTTTGTTTATTCCACCGTTGTTGTTGTTATATCAGGGTTAGAAACTGATATAGGAGAGCTAGGAGCTAAATGGCACCTAATCCGAGGTTATGGGTGCAACAGCGGCATGTCTAGGCACTCTTTTTTTGATAACAAGAATTCAAAGCTGAAAATGAATGAACCCTGCTGTTGTTGTTGTTTAGTTGTTTAGTCGTGTCCGCCTCTTCGTGATCCCCTGGACCAGAGCACGCCGGGCACTCCTGTCTTCCACTGCCTCCCGCAGTTTGGTCAAACTCATGCTGGTAGCTTTGAGAACACTGTCCCACCATCTCGTCCTCTATTGTCCCCTTCTCCTTGTGCCCTCCATCTTTCCCAACATCAGGGTCTTTTCCAGGGAGTCTTCTCTTCTCATGAGGTGGCCAAAGTCTTGGAGCCTCAGCTTCAGGATCTGTCCTTCCAGTGAGCACTCAGGGCTGATTTCCTTCAGAATGGAGAGGTTTGATCTTCTTGCAGTCCATGGGACTCTCAAGAGTCTCCTCCAGCACCAGAATTCAAAAGCATCCATTCTTCGGCAATCAGCCTTCTTTATGGTCCAGCTCTCACTTCCATACATCACTACCGGGAAAACCATAGTAGTAGTATGTAGTAGTAGCAGTAATAATAATAATAATGGGTTCGTTCCTGGAAGGGGAAGGGTCCCTTTCTTGTGGCTCTCGGTGGCTTTGTTGTTTTGTTTTGTTGCCTTTATTCCGCTGTTGTTGTTGTTATATCAGTGTTAGAAACTGAGATAGGAAAGCTAGGAGCTGAATGGCACCTAAATGGGTGTAACAACAGAATGTCTAGGCGCACTTTTTTTTATAACAAGAATTCAAAGCAGAAAATGGATGAACTGCAGCTAAAATATTTTCATTTTCCACATGGTGTAGTCCTTCACCCGCACCCAATATCCTTAAGAAGAGGGTCTCTTCTCCAGTCTTGTAGCTGGAAGTGGGCAGGCGGAAAAAAAAGTTCTTTCCTTCCACTCTGCAGTTTTAATCGGAAATCTTTAGGTTCAGTACTGTACCCAGAGCTCAGAAACTGCATTAATGAAATTATCTGTTGCAAAATGCGCCTGGAACAATGGGAGTTTCCAACACTGAACTGTATGTCATAGAATTATAGAGTCGGAAGGGACCACAGGGATCATCAAGTCCAAACCCAATGCAATGGAGGAATCATTAGCCCAACACAGGGCTCAAACCCACCACCATGAGATGAACAGTCACTGATTGAGCAGTGTCAGTGTCATATATTTATTTATGCCTTTTCCCCTGAGAAGGACTCAAGAAGGTGTGCAGGTTAAAAAAAAAGGAGAAAAACAGAACAGCCAAAGCATAAGGGGGGAATCATTAAAAGAATTAAGCATTGATTTCGATTTATATCCCATATTTTCGTGCTTAAGGGGCTCAAAGTGGTGCATGGTGTGGTGTCTAGAACATGGGTAGGCAGACTAAGGCCCAGGAGCTGGATCCGGCCCAGTTGCCTTCTCAATCCAGCCCACGGACGGTCCGGGAATCAGCGTGTTTTGACATGAGTAGAATGTGTCCTTTTATTTAACATGTATCTCTGGGTTATTTGTGGGGCACAGGAATTCATTCATCCCCCCCCCCCCCAAAAAATATAGTCTGGCCCCCCACAAGGTCTGAGGGACAGAGGACCAGCCCCCTGCTGACCCCTGGTCTAGAATTAGGACCTGGGAGTGACCCCAGTTCAAGTCCTGCTGCCGCCACCCACGTATCACTAGGTGTGTGTCTCCCAGCCCAGCCTACCCTACATAGTTGTGGGGATTAAATGAGGACCAGGACTTAGGAGAGACCAGGATTTAAATCCACCCCGCTCAGCCACAGGGACGTTCAGTGGGTGTGACCTGGGGAGGGCAGTTGCTACCTCTCCAGCTCAGAGTGGTTGTTGTGAAGATTGAAGATTAAATGAGAGGGAGGGAGAAAATTGTGCACTGCCTTGAGCTCCTTGGAGAATAAAAGGTGAGATAGTAAAGAGAAAGGGACTCCGGACCATTAGGTCCAGTCGCGGACGACTCTGGGGTTGCGGCGCTCATCTCGCTTTATTGGCCGAGGGAGTCAGCGTACAGCTTCCGGGTCATGTGGCCAGCATGACTAAGCCGCTTCTGGCGAACCAGAGTAGCGCACGGAAACGCCATTTACCTTCCCGCTGGTGCGGTACCTATTTATCTACTTGCACTTTGACGTGCTTTTGAACTGCTAGGTTGGCAGGAGCAGGGACCGAGCAACGGGAGCTCACCCCGTTGCGGGGATTCGAACCACCAACCTTCTGATCGGCAAGTCCTAGGCTCTGTGGTTTAACCCACAGCGCCACCCAGGTCCCAAATGTGGGATATCAACATAATAAATAAATACAATATACGGTTCTCAGGCAACCCCCCCCCACCATTCCCCAAAGCACACATTCACCATAAAGACACCCCAGTTTTGAAGAAGCTGAAGAATACTGGCTAGCTGTCTGACCCTGTACATGCTTATTCTTAAGCAGTGTTCAAAATAAGCCAGGTGCATTTTGCACCTGGTTATCGGCCACTTGTGACCAGGTGAAGATGTCTGGGCTTCTGGATGGTGCCTGACATCTCCACCATCTGGTGGTACATGCTTGGGGATCATTGGATCTTTACTCTTTTAACCCACTTAATACCACATCCTGTAGAATTCTATCAGTTATCTGTGCAGTCAGAATGAATTATGCAGCCTGAGTAGGAGCAGCGAGCAACATTAGAGTTAATTGTTGTAGCTTGTCTTCACTTACCCCACCCCCATGTCCTGCTCACCGTTGTGAAGAATATCCCTATGTTATGAATGGTCCGTGTCACCATTAAGAAAAAGAGGTAGGAATAAGCCAGTGTATATGTGGACTGTCCCAGACTTTTCTTCTTTAAGTTCTCAGAGTTCTTAAGCTAGCTCAAGGTTGTCATCTCAACTTGTTGTTGTTTAGTCGTGTCCGACTCTTCGTGACCCCCTGGACCAGAGCACGCCAGGCACTCCTGTCTTCCACTGCCTCCCACAGTTTGTTCAAACTCATGCTGGTAGCTTTGAGAACACTGTCCCACCAGCTTGTCCTCTGTCATCCCCTTCTCCTTGTGCCTTCTATCTTTCCCAAAGTCAGGGTCTTTTCCAGGGAGTCTTCTTATGAGGTGGCCAAAGTATTAGAGCCTCAGCTTCAGGATCTGTCCTTCCAGTGAGCACTCAGGGCTGATTTCCTTCAGAATGGATAGGTTTGATCTTCTTGCAGTCCATGGGACTCTCAAGAGTCTCCTCCAGCACCAGAATTCAAAAGCATCCATTCTTCGGCGATCAGCCTTCTTGATGGTCCAGCTCTCACTTCCATACATCACTACGGGAAAAATCATAGCTAAAACCATAACTATACGGACCCTTGTTGGCAAGGTGATGTCATCTCAACTAGCCAGATATTTAACCAATAATCGATCACTGTCTGTCCTTTGAAAAATAAGACTTTAGAGCCGTCGTGCCCAAATATGGGAACTCGGCATTCCATTTTGGTGACTGACCTTGGTTTAAGGAGCCATATGGCACCTAGCTTATATCTGAGTTTCTGACACAGCTGCAGATGTAAAGGAGAATTCGAGTTATGTGGCATCTGCATAATGCTGATTTTTGTCTTTCCATTCTCATCATGCAAATGCTCTTTGAGGCATATGATGTGGTCTTGTCCAGAGATACATTATTTTTGGTCCGAAGTTGTTCCTCGCATCGTTGATGAATCCTTATTATTTGCAGATGTTCGTGTTCTGCTAAACTTTATTCCTGTAGCGTGGGGATTAACTGGTGGGCAACAAAAATGGATTTTGTAAGCCCCTTATGGTGGCTAAGAGGCTTATGCTTTTTCTTCAGGGTAGAAAAGTGTTGCCGCAATGTCTGACAGCGAGGACAGCAACTTCTCTGAAGATGAGAGCGAGCGCAGCAGTGAGGCGGAAGAGGTGGAGGAGAACGAGGTGAGGTGGAGTAGAACATGCAGGCCAGCAGGTGTTTTGCACCTGCTTCAAGGACGTGTGTCTTTGGCCTGAGTTGTGGAGAGGAGAGGCAGGCCATTTATTTATTTGGCAGATTTGCAGCCTTCCTATCCACCATTTACGTCACCAAGGCATCTTGCAGACATGTAAAGCTGTTCACAGTCTCAGCAGGTAAGGAGATCCGTGTGGATCTTCCACCCTGGAACAGAGGAAGAAGCTCTTATACCCTTCACCTGACATGTCTTTTCAGGTTTTGGCTTCTCTTGAACTTGGGGCTGGGGCAGAGCACATTTTCTGTAAGCAATTTCATCTTCATAATAATAATAATAAATTTTATTTATACCCCACCTTCCCCGGCCAGAGCCGGGCTCAGGGCGGCTAACACCAATACAATCACAATAAAAACATAATAGGGGGGAAAGCGGGGGAGGGGGAAAAAACCCCAATTGAAAATACAGGTTAAAATGCAATTTAAAATGCAGCCTCATTTTAAAGTAGCTGATAAATCAAGATCATAAGGGGAGGGAAACTAGGGTCAGACCGAGTCCAAACCAAAGGCCAGGCGGAAAAGCTCTGTCTTGCAGGCCCTGCAGAAAGATGTCAAGTCCCACAGGGCCCTAGTCTCTTGTGACAGAGCGTTCCACCAAGTCGGGGCCACTACTGAAAAGGCCCTGGCCCTAGTTGAGATGAATCTAACCTCCTTGAGGCTCAGGACCTCCAAAGTGTTGTTATTTGTGGATCTTGAGGTCCTCCACGGGGCATAGCAGGAAAGGCGGTCCTGTAGGTGCGTGGGTCCTAGGCCGCAGAGTCAGCAGGGCAAACTGGGTTGTATCCGGCACTAGCCTTGCTCAGACCCACTGAAATGACTAAGTTAAGTCTGTTAATTTCAATTGAGTAAATCATAGGATTGTAAATTTGGAAGGGACCCTAAGGGTCATCTTGTCCAACCCCCTGGAACGCAGCAATATCTATTCTAGCCTTTCTTTTCATTCCACATACCTCTTAGAGAAAAGCTTCTGTCTTTACCGTGAGGAGGCAGGTGTAAGGAACAACAAGAGGGCCAGTGTGGTGTAGCGGCAGACTAGGGAAACTAGGGTCCACATCCCCACTTGACCACGAAGCTTTCTGTGTGACCTTGGATCAGTCACTCAGAGGGTTGCTATGAGGATAGAGTAGGGAGGAGAATGAAGTAAGCCGCCTTGAGGTTCTTAAAAATGTAATTAATCGTCGTCCTCATTCAGAGACTCCCCCAACCAGCTGTGTGCACCCAAGGGAGCTTTGGGCTTCTTTAACGAGAGAAACCATCCCTATGTACCAATCAAAGCATGCTTTAAACTGAGCCTAGTTCACCAGCGCATTGGAGGGTGCACAATCCCACAAGGAGCACAGGGGCGCTTGTGTTTGCCTAGCCTCTGGCTCTCAAGCCATATCCAAGGACTGAGCTTGGGCAGAAGTTCTCTAGAGACCCGGATATCTCCTCCTAAGTCTAAAAGCAGGTTGGGGCTAGGAATCGGGGCCTGTGGTTTCCATTTCCATGTAACCAAGCTGTTTGGTGCTGTTTCCCCCACCCCTAAGTAAAGCTGCTTTCTGTGGGCTTCAGCGTGAACCACCTGCGAGTCACAGGTTAAAGGTTCTCGTTCAATAACATGCAGGCTGAAGAGGAGCGTGTCAGTGTCGTAGGCAGCGAGAAGGAAGAAGTGGAGGAAGAGGAAGAAGAGGAGGAGGAAGAGTATGACGAAGAGGAGGAAGAGGACGATGATGACCGGCCTGCGAAGAAACCCAGACATGGCGGATTTATTTTAGATGAAGCTGGTAAAAAAACAAAAACGGACTCTTCTCCTCTGTCCCCTGCCCCAACCATAAGAGACATGTAATCTTTGACTCCTGGCTTATCGTGTGGACCTCGTCCCTTCCCTTTCTCTTCCTTCCAGATGTGGATGATGAGTATGAAGACGAAGACCAGTGGGAAGATGGTGCAGAAGATATCCTGGAGAAAGGTAAGGAGACCCCTTTTCGTGAAGATAATCTTGGATCTGGAGTAACTGGATGCCCGAGTGGTAACCAAGTCGGAGCATGCAAGCTTTGACGTCCCACAGAACCTTTCAGCAGAATTCCTGCTGCGGAGGAAGCAGGAAATTCCTCACTGGTGCTGAGTTCTCGAATGCTTGTGTGTAACCCCAAAGCAACCTAGAGAAGCCTGAGAAAACATAATCTGCTTTATTGAGCGTAATTAATTTTCTGGAATGTTTTCCCCTTTCCTGGTTATAAGTCAAATCCCTAAAACTGGAAATGCAACTGAATTTCTTTTCTTTTAAAAAAAAAAGGATTTCCTTTTCTGTTTTATTTCCTGCCAGAGCTGGAAACTCTTTTTCGTTTAAAATTCCCATGTTCATTTATTCTAATACGAGTTTCTCGCCATTTCTGGAAAGCACTTAAACCGATCAGACTTTTCTCCAAGAGTTGCGGATGACCGCGGGTTGTCACATTTGCGAAAGTGCTGTCGGTTGTGGAGGTGCGAAACGAGAGCGGCCAGCGGAGGGAGAGCTGCTTCTTAGGATCGGCGGCAGCCCCTGCCTCCCGGCCGTTGTCCCTCCCCCCCCCCCCCGAGGCTGCCCCTGCCTGTGGGTAGTGCTCCCTCTGCCTCCCCGCCCCCCCCCCCCGGCCTGGTGGCTTCTCTCTTTTTGAGTTCTCGTGCATTTCATTCGCTTCTGCTTGGTTTGTGTGCCGCATCTTAATTTTGTTCCTTCCGCTTTTCTGTTCCCCATTCACCCTCACCCTGTGGTTGGTTTTGATGGTATTATTTGGCTCATACTGTCCGCCCTCCCACCACCACCACCACCACCTCTTCTTGAGCAGAGGAATTTGAAGGTAAGAACGGTTTTTGTTTTTATCCTCTTCATTCCAGCTCCTTTCCTCTTCACCAGCTGCCTTTGCTTCTCTGCTTCCTTTCAGCCAGGTGGGGTTCTGTGCGTGAGAGGGGGCGGGAGAGCATGCTCAGCAAATGCCTAGTTGATGTGGCCACGCAGGGAACGGGCTTGTGCAGCCCCTGCCACTTGATCCCTTGTAGCTAAGTTCTCTGGTAGCGCAGTGGTCTTCTGAGCAGGAATGCTGTTCCAGTGATCCCAACTACCGTATTTTTCACTCTATAAGACACACTTTTCCCCTCCTAAAAAGTAAGGGAAAATGTGTCTGCGTCTTATGGAGCAAATGCAGGCTGCGCGGCTATCCCAGAAGCTAGAACAGGGAGAGGGAGAGCTGCGCAGCGCTCCCTCTCGCTGTTCTGGCTTCGCCATGCGAAGCCTCCGCAGGGCAGCAGGGAGCCTTCATCCCGCTGCCCTGCGGAGGCTTTGCGGGCTACCCCAGAAGCCAGAACAGTAAGAGGCTATCCCAGAAGCCAGATCCCTCTTGCTGTTCTGGCTTCTGGGATTCAGAATAATTTTTTTCTTGTTTTCCTCCTCCAAAAACTAGGTGCGTCTTATCGGCTGGTGCGTCCTATAGAGCAAAAAATACGGTAATTCAAGCACTGTCCCTTTCCTTCCGGGACCTGCCCAGGAGAACAGCCTGCAGGTGTCCGTAGATTTCTGTTGCAATTTATTAGTCACTTGAGACATAGAATCATAGAATGGTGGAGAGTTGGAAGGGACCCTGAGGGTCATCCAATCCAACCCCCTGCGATGCAGGAATCTCAACTCAAGCCTCCCTGAAAGATGGGCATACATCTGTCTATAAAGTGTACAAAATCTAAAAATCAGGAAAAGAACAATTATTTATTATTGTCTATTAAATTTCTATACCACTCATAATAATAATAATAATATTTCTTTATACCCTGCCCTCCCCAGCCAAGCCCGGGCTCAAGGTGGCTAACAACCAATTATACGAAAGTTGATTGAAATACAACTTAAAAACAAGGTTAAATACAACATTAAAACATTAAAATGCAGCCTCATCACAGGAGGAGAAAGGAAAAAAGAAACAGGGGGAGGGAATCAAATTGACTCCAAGCCAAAGGCCAGGCGGAACAACTCTGTCTTACAGGCCCTGTGGAAAGAAATCAGATCCCGCAGGGCACTGGTCTCATGAGACAGAGCGTTCCACCAGGCCGGAGCCAGTGTTGAAAAGACCCTGGCTCTGGTTGAGGCTAATCTGACTTCCTTAGGGCCCGGGACCTCGAGGATGTTGCTATTTATGGACCTTGAGGCTCTCCGTGGGGCACCCCGGGAGAGGCGGTCCCGTAGATACGAGGATGATGAGGATCTTCATCTGAGGAGCACAGGGTGGTTTGCAATATAGAACACAAAAGTACATACCATAATAGCAAATAGAAACAATAACATGCTACTGCCACCGCCCCCCAAGTTTAAAGGTCCACTCAGAGGCCTGGGAGAAGAGTGGGCATCTGCCAGGGCTTATTTGGCTGTGATTCATGGGTTGACCCTTGGAGGCCCTTACAATTCTACGATTCTATGAGCCATTCTTCCAAGTGCCCATCAGAAGCGTATAGCACACATTTCCCGTCTGTATCCAAAAGAATGTGTCTTCCTTTTCAGAAGACTGCTGCATAGAACAGGAAGGGGAAAACTTTGACCCTGCAGTGGACTACAGTTGCCTTCATCCCTGGCCCGCTGACCATACTAGAGGACCACAGGTTCCTCATTTTTGGCCTAGGACTCCTCACCCAGAAACAGGGTGGAACAGGCCATGGCTGCCAGTAGCTGCCCATGCATAGCAGGGGCCGTCCTGCGATATCTCAGCCTTAACGGCAGGTCCTTGACTCCCTTAGCAGCGTTTGCAAGTCTCTCTCTCTTTTTCCTCCTTTCTCCTTTCCTCCTTTTATTGGGTCTTTCTTGGCAAGCACAGTGGAGTTGTCAGAGAGCGTTGCAGGGTATCTCAGCTTGCAAACAGACCAGGCCCTGAAGCTGTTTGCAGTTCTGAAAAGTCTGTAGCTCTCGCCCATACACTTTGCCCAACAAAAAACCTCTTCTCTGCCTCTGCTGTTCAGCGTTGCAAACGTCTGTTTCTTCTTCTAGCGTCCAATATTGACAATGTGGTTCTGGACGAGGATCGCTCTGGAGCACGGAGGCTGCAAAACTTGTGGAGGTAAATGGCACTGCATGCAGAGCAAAGCACAGAGCAGGAGCAGCACAGGATTCTGGCAGGACTTTGTGTGTTTATTTTGAAAGCAGAATTGCCTGGTTTGGCTCTGCTGAAATAAGTGTACAGTTGTATCTTATATGGGGGTTCAGTTACAAGGGTTCCACATACACACAAAAATCGTATACAGTGGTATCCTGGGTTACAGATGCTTCAGGTTACAGACTCCGCTAACCCAGAAGTAGTACCTCTGGTTAAGCACTTTGCTTCAGGATGAGAACAGAAATCGTGCTCTGGCAGCGCGGCGGCAGCAGGAGGCCCCATTAGCTAAAGTGGCGCTTCAGGTTAAGAACAGTTTCAGGTTAAGAACGGACCTCTGGAATGAATTAAGTACCTAACCCGAGGTACCACTGTATATTCAAACTCTCAGAACTGTCCTGCAGCTAATGGATGATGGTTTAAAAGCTCTCTGCCTTGCTTGCCTTTAACATGTGCAATTTCAACCAGCCTGCCTTCAATCATGTATGGTTAAAAACATGCAAGTTAAATTCACATAAGATGCGATTGTATTGTACATTCGTACCTTGGTTGTCGAACAGCTTAGCTCTTATACATTTCAGCTCCCAAACGTCTCAAACCCGGAAGTTCCTGCTCCAGTTTGCAAACTATTTTTGGAAGCTGAACGTCCGACAGGGCTTCCGCAGCTTCCAGTTGGCTGCAGGAGCTTCCTGCAAGTTTGGGGATCTTTTGGAGCAGGAGCAAGGGAGTTTATGTGTTGGATTTGAGCTCCCCTTGACCCCAGGCAACACAGCTATTGACCAGGGGTGAGGGGAGTTGGTAGGCTGGAGGGCCACAGATTCCCCCTAAACCCTGTTTCCAGATGTTCAGAGCTGGTCACTCATTGATTTCTTTTTCTGGTAAAGCCCTGCAAGAACCACCCTTCACCCTATGGTCCCAGGGCACATTACAAGAATTAAAACGCAGTATTAAAACCATTTACAACCACACCAATAAGGTGGCTCCTAAAATATACACCTCAGGGGTCTAGTGATTTGGCTGTTGCAGGTGACTGGGGTGGCGGTTGAGCTTTGGGCTTCCTGCCTTTGCCCTTCTGCTGCACCAGAACATGTGCAAAGTGCTTTGGCCTGGCTAATACGTCCCCTCTCACTTCATTCTTCTTGTTTCTCTCTCCCCCCCCCCAACAGGGACCAAAGAGAGGAGGAGCTGGGCGAGTATTACATGAAGAAGTATGCCCAGTCTTCGGTGCGCGAGACGTGAGTATGCCGCTTTTATCCTGCCAGCGGTTCCCCGTTTCGAAACACTCCTGCTGGCCAGTTTCTTGGCCTTGTCCCTCCACCCTCGGACCTCTCAGACCTCCTCTCTCTCTGTTTCTCCAGGGTGTACGGCGGCTCTGATGAGCTTTCTGACGACATCACGCAGCAACAGCTACTTCCTGGTGTCAAGTAAGGACTTTCTGTTGTGAGCATTCTGTTCCCGCAGAAGCAGAAGACTTCGGTCTTGTGAGACTTAGCGGGATAGAGGCTGGGGGGGAAATGACTCTGGACGTGAGAGCAGGACTGAGACGGCCCAGTTGAGAGGCTGCAGCCCTGATGTTAAGTAGCGGGCGATGCTTACTTTGGCCATGGCGAGCTGACCTTGCTGTGTTTGTTCTCCCCTCCCCATCCAGGGATCCCAACCTCTGGACTGTGAAATGCAAGGTAAGCCCCGCAGGCGCAGAGAGGTTGCTTTCGCATTGCGTCTGCTACCTGACATCCTTTTTCATTCCAACCCTTCTCTCTCCCACTTCCAGATTGGAGAGGAGCGGGCCACAGCCATTGCGCTCATGAGGAAGTTCATTGCCTACCAGTTCACAGACACAGTAAGTGGGCTGGGAAGAGGGGAACAGAAGAAGACCTTGACGCTTCACTTTTTCTACAGCGCTGCTCTTGCCATGGGGTTGTCCCTCTTGTTGCTCCTTGCTGCAAACGTTGGCTTGATGTGCCAACTAGCCGCCATAGATGGCTGCCACCAGGCCTTACCCTTCCCAGAATCCTCTGCCAGATGCAAAGGGCCGGGGAATGAGTTGGGGGTCTTGCCAATAATAATAATAATAATAATAATAATAATAATAATTTTATTTATACCCCACCGGGCTCAGGGCAGCTAACAATCAATAATAAAAACAAGTTGATTAAAATACAACTTAAAAAACAAGATTCAAATACAACATTAAAATGCAGCCTCTTCACAGGAGGAGAAAGGAAAAAAGAAAGAGGGGGAGGGAATCAAATTGATTCTAAGCCACAGGCCAGATGGAACAACTCTGTCTTACAAGCCCTGCGGAAAGAAATCAGATCCCGCAGGGCCCTGGTCTCATGAGACAGAGTGTTCCACCAGGTTGGGGCCATCACTGAGAAGGCCCTGGCTCTGGTTGAGGCTAATCTGACTTCCTTAGGGCCCAGGACCTCTAGGGTGTTGCTATTTATGGATCTTAAGGTCCTCCGTGGGGCATACCGGGAGAGGCGGTCCCATAGCTACGAGGGTCCTAGGCCATGAAGGGCTTTAAAGGTCAAAACCAGCACCTTAAATCTGACCCTATGTTCCACCGGGAGCCAACTTTACAGTGAAGTATGAGAAAATAAGGATTTCTTCCCTGCCTCTCCTCATGAACCTTTAACACAATGGATTGGAGGAGGCAGTGGGCAAGATCCAAGGTTGGTGAGACTCGGAGCATACCCATTGAAATTAGTGGACAGGCCCTTGAATTTCACTGGGTCTGCTCTTGAGAATTACTTAATTGGCTACATCTCACCTTGTGGAGGATAAGGCGTTTGGAGGCAGCAACGCATCTGATTACCAGTTGCTGGGAAGCACAGGAGTGGTCTTGGGCTCGGATCCTGCCCGTGGACTTCCCATTGGAGCATCTGGTTGGCCGCTGTGAAAACAGGATGCTGGACTAGATGGGCCCTTGGCCTCATCCTGTAAGGCTCTTCTTACGTTTCCTCATTTGCGCCAAGGATCTGGATGAAGAAAAAAGCTGCAGAAGTCCTTCCTCGTCGCTTGAAATACTCCCTTAACTTCCTCCAAGCAGGGAAGGGAGGGAGGACCTGTGTATTGCTGGCCAGCCTGATTGCCCAGGGCCAAGTCCAATTTGCCCCAGTGTGCCGGTGACTGTCTTTATAGTTGCCTGGTACAGCAAAGTTCCGGCCTGGCGTGGCCTTTTCCTGCAAAGTGTGGCTGGCCTGGAGCAATATAAACAAGAGATGCGAGAGAGCGACATTGAGAGCTTGGAGACTCTGCACAAGCGATGTCCCAGCCTCTCTTATGCGTAACCCACCCCCATTCTTCCTCCGCAGCCCTTGCAGATCAAATCGGTGGTCGCCCCTGAGCACGTGAAAGGGTACATCTACGTGGAGGCCTACAAACAGACGCACGTCAAGCAGGCCATCGAAGGGGTGGGCAACCTCCGGATGGGCTACTGGAACCAGCAGATGGTGCCCATCAAGGAGATGACGGACGTGCTTAAGGTGGTGAAGGAGGTGACCAACCTGAAGCCCAAGTCGTGGGTGCGCCTCAAGAGGGGCATCTACAAGGACGACATTGCTCAGGTGAGACGAGACCTTGGCTGAGGGTCCGGATTGAGGAATTAACAACAGGCATGATGGGTATTTTCTTTGTGCAGTGGTACCTCGGGAGTCGGACAGAATCCATTCCGGAAGTCCGTTCGACTTTTGAAACATTCAGAAACCAAGGCGCGGCTTCCGATAGGCTGCAGGAAGCTTCTGCAGCCAATCGGGAGCTGCGGAAGTCGTGTCAGACGTTCGGGTTCCCATGAACGTTTGCAAACTGGAACACTCACTTCCAGGTTTGCGGCATTCAAGAGCCAAAACGTTTAATTTGCAAGGTGTTTGGGATCCAGGGTGCGACTGTATTTTAAGGTGCCGAATGGAGTGAAGGCTTATGGGTTATGGTGTTTTGGGAGTGTGTATGAACTCAGCAGGGCTTAGCTTATTTTTCTAGTTGATGTATGTGTGATGCTTTGCCAAGTTACACAGGCAAAAGAATAGACCAGTCATAACATCACAGAATGGTTGGGTTGGAATAGGACCCTCAAGAGTCATCTAGTCCACCTCCTGCAACGCAGAATCACAGCCTGCCCTGAAAGCTTTTTTTTTTATTTAAGCCCATAAAGTTGTCTTTTGCTTTATTAACTTTCTTTTAAAAAAAATATTTTTATTAACCAATTTCCACATAACAATTTATCAATCCTCTTAATCAATTACATTATTTCCCCCCTTCACCCCCCTCAACCCTCCCTCTCCCCCCCAACCAAGGACTTCCCTCAGCTCCCCTCCCTGATTTCTTTACATATATTGTTTTCTGCATGTTATAAAATTGTACATATCCTTACTTTGTCCATCATGTGTTCAGCTAATAAATTTGTGAATGTTTATTCAAAACCTGCCAAAGTCCCAATTCATTTTGTTGTCTTTTTAGATAGCTTGTAAAAAGTTCCCATTCTTCCTTGAAGTCACAGTTGTCCTTTTCACACAGTTTATATGTCAACTTGGCCAGTTCCACATAAGCTCATCAATTTTTCTTGTCGCTGTTCTTTTGTTGGGATTTGCTGCTGTTGTAGCGTACATAAATAAGTTCTTTCCTTTTCTTGGCAGGTCTTGTCCTACAATCCCTAACAAAACTTGAAAGCTTTTGACCTGCTTCCAAAAAAGCAGCAGCTGACATTTCCACTTCTCAGATGCCTTGTGTAGGATCACAGAATTGTAGAGTTGGAAGGGACCCAGGGATAATATCTGGTCTAGACCCCTATAATGCAGGAATCACAACTGAAGTATCCCTGACAGATGGCCATCCCACCTCTCTTTAAAAACATCCAATGAAGAAGAGCCCACCAGCTTCTAAGGGAGTCTGTTCTACTATTGAACAGCTCTTAACATCAGGAAGTTCTTACTGATGTTTAGTTGGAATCTCCTCATTGCTGTTCATCTCAACTTGAAAGGTGGCAACAGCCTGAGAGGTCGTAGGCTGGCGTTTGCCAGCCATTTTGCTCTCTATGTTAGCAACTGTTCAGTCGCAGGCATGTCCAAAGTCCGTTTCGGGGGTCTAATCCGGCCCACCGGTCTGTTTAATCCAGCCCCTGTGGCAGTTTATTTCCCTAGGGTAAAATCCTTTTAAAAAACTCAACAACTCCATCCAAGCCCCCAAAAAGCTCAACAACTTCAATCCGATAAAAAGCTCAACAACTTTGGCTGGCCCCCACGGCCCTTCACTTCATCAAATCTGGCCCTCTTTGAAAAAACGTTTGGACACCAGTGCATGCTACGTGGAGAATCCTATGGTCTGGATTGCACAAGTTGGAGGCTAGAGACCCCTGCCTTTGAGCAAGGAGTTTGTGCTTGATCTGTGTTGCTTGCAATCTCAACACCGACCAATGTCTCTTCCCTCCCTTTCCCCTTAGGTGGATTACGTGGAGCCCAGCCAGAATCAGATTTCCCTGAAGATGATTCCCCGCATCGATTTTGACCGCATCAAAGCCCGCATGAGCCTGGTATGTTGGCTCGGCTCGTTGCGGGAGCCTCCCTTCACCAGTGCACCTTTTGGGTGCTTCTGCTGGGCCTTTTGCTTTTTGCCTCTGGTTATTCCAGGTTTGGTGGGCTGAGAAAGGGAAGAGGTGCTTCATTTTAACCCTTTGGTGTGTCAAAACAGAAGCAGCCGCCCTTGGGAGCAGGGTCTGCAGAGACTGGAGTTCCGTTGGCTCCAGTGTAATTCAGAGATGCGTTTCCCTAAAACAAGAGCAAAATGACCTTTTCTCCCCTGTAAACTGCCTTCTCCCTTGGCCAGTTGGATGAGTTGGGATGTTCTGGTCATTAGTGGGCGTGGCCAGAAGTGGGTGTGGCCAGAAGTGGGTGTGGCCAGAAGTGGGTGTGGCCAGTTCTCTCCTTTAGGGTCATCTCCTGTATTTATTTATTTTTATTTCTGCCTCTGCCTCCATAATTTTGGGATCTTGCCCAGGGGCCAGAGGCAGGTGAGGTCCCTAGCTGGGGATTAGCCACTTGCACCTTTAAATTCTCTCTAAACCCACCACACTTCCTGGCTTGCTTCTCCCATCGCAAACCCTGCCTCTGCCTCTCCCATTTCAGAAAGACTGGTTTGCCAAACGGAAGAAGTTCAAGCGCCCGCCGCAGCGTCTCTTTGATGCCGAAAAGATCCGGTGAGAGTCCAGAGCGGCGGGGGTGTGTGTGTCCATATTTGGAGAGGAGGCGGGTGCTGAAGGGCCTGAGAGGGGGAACCCAGGGCAGAAAGACTGTTGGCTGAGTGATGACAGCTGCAGATTCTGTCTTCCTGGGGAACCAACGCAGGCCCAGTTTGTCCATCTCCAGCTGCTCTCTTGCTGCTGGTCACGCTAACTGCTAAGCCTCTCCATCCCTTCCTTTCCAGGTCTTTGGGCGGCGACGTGGCCTCCGATGGGGATTTCCTCATCTTTGAGGGGAACCGCTACAGCAGGAAGGGTTTCCTCTTCAAGAGCTTTGCTATGTCTGCCGTGGTAAGGACTGGGGGGGCCCTGAGCAATAGAGTGGGTGGAAGAGGACTCCTGCGGTATAGACCCTTGTTGTATAAGAGTAAATGGCAGGTGGCTGACATCCTGCACTGGAGGCTGACTTGAACCTAGTGAGAAGGCATTGGTCCAGTCAGACCAGGGCTGTGTTCTCTAACGGGCACCCGCCGGGGCCTGCTTTGCATCTGCCGGTGCTGATGTGTCCTGGGTAGTTCCTCCTGATGGAATCAATGTCCCTGGGGCGTGAGATCCGCAAATCAGCCCTGGCAGAAGCAGGGAGTGGAGAGGCCTTTGAAAAAGTTCAGTATTGGTGTAGATGGTGCTGCCTCTGTCCTTCCCACCCTCTCAGCCTGCTCTGTGCCCTTTCGCTTTCTCTCCCCCTCCAAACCACCCGTGCTGTTTCCTGGGCATCGTCAGATCACAGAAGGAGTGAAGCCCACTCTGTCCGAGCTGGAGAAATTTGAAGACCAACCGGAAGGCATTGACTTGGAGGTGGTGACGGAAAGCACAGGTAATAATGAGAATAACAATAAAATTTTATTTATATCCCGCCCTCCCCAGCCGAAGCCGGGCTCAGAGCGGCTAACAACAATAAAAGTAACACAACATTCTAAAATCAATTCCTTTTAAAATTAATTCAAAATCAAATTCATGGCAACCATTGGGCTAGAGTTCTGTGAGGATTACCAAAGGAGGGGGGTCAGACTGCCTTGGCCAAAGGCCTGGAGGAACAGCTCCGTCTTGCAGGCCCTGCGGAAAGATGTCAAGTCCCTCAGGGCCCTAGTCTCTTGTGACAGAGCGTTCCACCAGATCGGGGCCACAGCCGAAAAAGCCCTGGCTCTGGTTGAGGCCAGCCTAACCTCTCTGTGGCCCAGGACCTCCAATATGTTTTTGTTTGAAGACCGTAAGGTCCTCCGTGTGGCATTCCAGGAGAGGCCGTCCCGTAGGTACGAGGGTCCTAGGCCGTATAGGGCTTTAAAGGTTAAAACCAGCACCTTGAACCTGACCCTGTACTCCACCGGGAGCCAGTGCAACTGGTATAGCACTGGGTGAATGTGATCCCGCGGCGAGGACCCTGTAAGGAGTCTCACTGTGGCATTCTGCACCCGCTGGAGTTCCTGGGTCAGTCTCAAGGGCAGCCCCCTGTAGAGTGAGGCTGCTGGCCTTGGCCGCCTCTGGTTCCCGCCTCCTCCGTGACTCCCCAGGCGCTCGCTCCTAGCTCACGCTAGGACCCACAGCCTCCAATTGTCCCGGGTCCATTGCGCCTTCCAGGTAGGCCAAGGCCATTGGAACTCGCCGCACGCTGTCCTGTCTCAGGAAGGGGGCTGTGGCAAGTTGCCCAGGTTGCGCCGCCTCACTTGCCTCCTTCCGTCTTTCAGGGAAGGAGCGGGAACACAACTTCCAGCCCGGCGACAACGTGGAGGTGTGTGAGGGGGAGTTGATCAACCTGCAAGGCAAGATCCTGAGCGTGGATGGGAACAAGATCACCATCATGCCAAAGCACGAAGACCTCAAGGTACAGTGGCTCCCTGTCTTCTCCCTTTCTCTCTCTGGCGTCATGGCATCCCGAGTGCGTTATAATGTCAGCCAGTAGTTCCCAAGTGGGCAGTGGGATTACCTAGGGGGCCCCGGGGAGTGTAAATGGCTTTGGAAAGCTTAGATCACTGGATCGAGTTCATCTGTTTCATTGAATTAATTCAACCTAAATAGTCTTAATTGGATTTCAAATGGATGCGCAATCAATGGTCACTGTTCTGAATTGTATTGTGTTATTATTTTCCTTATGTGGGTTGTGCCAACCTCTGTTCTGCATAATGCTTTCTGTAGGGCAGGAGGGACTGGGGATTAATTTATGGAGCCATGGGGATAATCATCATAAATTTTATTTATACCTCACCCTCCCCAGCCAGAGCCGAGCTCAGGGTGACCAACACCAGTAAAATTACAGTAAAATCATAATAGGGGGGAAAAAAACAATTTAAAATGCAGTTTAAAATGCAGCCTCATTTTAAAAGTAGCCCATAGATGAAAACCATAAGGGGAGGGAAAACATAAGGGTCAGACTGAGTCCAAACCAAAGGCCTGGTGGAACAGCTCCGTCTTGCAGGCTCTGTGGAAAGATGTCAAGTCCCACAGGGCCCTGGTCTCTTGTGACAGAGCGTTCCACCAAGTCGGGGCCAGCACTGAAAAGGCCTTGACCCTAGTTGCGACCAATCTAACTACATTGCGACCTGGGACCTCCAAAATGTTGTCATTTGTGGACCTTAAGGTCCTCCGCAGGGCATACCAGGAGAGGTGGTCCCATAGGTACGTGGGTCCAATGGCCCCCAAAGTCAGGGAACAGCCAATGTGGGCTGTTTGCCAAGTGATATCTATAACCGCAAGCTGAAATGTGACATGGGAGCGAGCCCCCTTTGCTGTGGGGGTGGGGGAGTGCCTGCTTGCGGCAAGGATGAGCACAGACACCTTGAGTCCTGCTGGATCAGGCCTAAGACCCATTTAGTCCAGCATCCTAGATGAGATGCCTGCATTAATAATAATAATAATAATAATAATAATAATGAATTTTTATTTATACCGCCCCTTCCCGGTTCAAAAACCGGGCTCAGGGTGGCTAACAACAAATTTAAAACACTTTAAAACACTTAATTATAAAAGCAGCATAAAATACAGTGTGAAAACATGAATAACAATAAAATTCAAAAATCAATTAGATAATCCCCAGTGCTAGCTGGCTGAATTGGTCTTACCTGGGCCAGCGAGGAAGCCAGGGGAGAATGAGCTGTGGGGTCTCAGAGCGGGTAATCTTCATAAAAGGGGAGGGGGAGGGAAGGAAGGGGAATAAAAGATAGGCTGAATTCAAATTAAAAGCCAGGCGGAATAGCTCTGTTTTACAGGCCTGACGGAAGGAGGTTAAATCCTGAAGGGCTCTAGTCTCATGGGACGGAGCCATCACTGAGAAGGCCCTGGCCCTGGTGGAGGATAGTCTGACTTCCTTAGGGCCCCGGACCTCTAAACTACGGTTATTCATGGACCTTAAGGTCTTCTGCGGGGCAGACCAGGAGACACACACTGTTTTTTTTACTGGCTGGCTTTGTTTATCGTGACGGAATATAAGAAGAGCCTGCTAGATCTGCCCAGTGGCCCACCTAGTCCAGCATCCTGGTCTCGCTGTGGTCAGCGAGATGCCCATTATGGAAAAACCACAAGCAGGATTCAAGCACAAGAGCCCTTGCCCTTCCTGCAATTATTTGTTCTCTCCCTCCTCCTCCCCCACTAGGACATGCTAGAATTCCCGGCCCAGGAGTTGCGCAAATACTTCAAAATGGGGGACCACGTGAAGGTGATTGCCGGCCGCTTTGAGGGCGACACGGGACTGATAGTCCGTGTGGAGGAGAACTTCGTCATCCTTTTCTCCGACCTCACAATGCACGAGGTGAGTGGGGGTGGCAGGCAGAGAAAAACAGCCTCTGTCTCGGCCTTGGTGGTGGTGGGGTGTCTTGAGAGGCTCGTTGGTTTTTGGCGATGTGTATCTTACCACTCACACATCCCCAGCCTCCTGCCTTTGAACCAAGCTCGTAATTATCTCTCCTTTCTGCATCTGTGCTTTGTTATGCAAGTCAAAATGTCAAAAGTGCCTTTTTGGGATTACTCCCTTCCCTCCTGCAGCTCAAAGTCCTCCCCCGAGACCTCCAGCTCTGCTCGGAGACAGCCTCTGGCGTGGATGTTGGCGGCCAGCACGAGTGGGGGGAGCTGGTGCAGCTGGACCCCCAGACAGTGGGGGTCATTGTCCGCCTGGAGCGGGAGACCTTCCAGGTAGGTGGGTGCTGCCTTTGCGGGTTGGTTGGGTTATGGGAGTTGCTGCCTTCCATTCCTTACATCAGAGATTGCACCTCGCGTGGTTTTATTTTACTTTGTTTTCTTTAATGGATCAAATCCAGAACTGACGAATGTTTTTAAAAAATTTTAAAATTATAAAGCAAGAATGTTCACTTGGGATCTCTTAATGGTTAAGGCACAATAAGTCATTTTCAGCTGGTGGCGCTGTGGTCTAAACCACTGAGCCCCTTCGGCTTGCCGATCAGAAGGTCAGCAGTTTGAATCCACATGACGGGGTGAGCTCCCGTTGCTCTGTCCCAGCTTCTGCCAGTCTACCAGTTGGAAAGCATACCAGTGCAAGTAGATAAATAGGTACCGCTGCGGCGGGAAGGTAAACGGCATTTCTGTGCTCTCTGGTTTCTGTCACAGTGTCCCAATGTGCCAGAAGCGGTTTAGTCCTGCTGGCCACATGACCTGCAAAGCTGTCTGTGGACAAACGCCAGCTCCCTCGGCCTGATAGTGAGATGAGCGCCACACCCCATAGTCGCCTTTGACTGGACTTAACCATCCCAGGGGTCCTTTACCTTTTACCTTCAGCTGATCTTGTGTATGCACACGTGTGCAAGGACATAGCATATGCCTCGCTCATCACACAGCATTCATCAAAGAATCCCAGGGAGCAGAGGGTGTGTTTTCCCACCTTCCACATCTCCCAACCCTGCAACTCTGATCCTTTTCTCTGCCCCCCCCCCAGGTCCTCAACATGTATGGCAAAGTGGTGACAGTCAGGCACCAGGCTGTGAACCGGAAGAAGGACAACCGCTTTGCCGTGGCGCTGGACTCTGAGCAGAACAACATCCACGTCAAAGACATCGTGAAAGTCATCGACGGGCCCCACTCGGTGAGCAGCAGGGCAGGCTGGGCCCCGCGGGTGCTGAGCTGCACAGCTGGCGTGCGCAGGGCATCCTGCCCATTGCATCTGACAGCTCTGCCTGCCTGTTGTGCGGAGGCCGTGGCCACCAACACAACCCAGACTGCGCTCGCTGCCATTGAACTAACGCGCCCCTTGCTGCCTCCCTCTCCTTCCAGGGTCGCGAGGGCGAGATCCGCCACCTCTTCAGGAGCTTCGCTTTCCTGCATTGCAAGAAGCTGGTGGAAAACGGGGGCATGTTTGTGTGCAAGACGCGCCATTTGGTTCTGGCCGGGGGCTCAAAGGTAAGAAGGGAAAGTAGTTCACCTTTCAGGAGGGGCATGTTAATTTTGGTTGCAACCCCTCTGACCAACCAGCAGTTGCTGGCAATAGATTTGGGGCAGGGGGTAGGATTCAAGTACATTGTTGCTTGCATGGAACTGTTGGGTGGGGGGTTCTATTGTGTGAGCAGACCTTGTTCTCCTTGCACAAACCCACCTGGCGCTTTGTTTTTTATTTCTTTGGAACCTTACTGTTGTTGTTGATAATATGTACACCTCCATGTGAACACATCTCAGCTTCCTCATTTTTAGTAAGGACATCAGTGGTTCAACATTGCTACTAGCTGCCCTCTGACTAATACCGTATGACGCATCGCCCTATAGGACGCATCGCCCTATAGGACACACCTAGTTTTTTTGGGGGGGGGAATAAAGAAAAAAATATTATTTTCCCCCCCCAGGCATGGGGCTGGCGCGGGGGAAGCCTGAGCTTCCCCCGACCCCAGCCCCCAGAACAGCCTGCTATCCACAAGCCTAGGGAGCCGCGCCGGTCTCCCCAGGCTTGCGGAGAGCTGCGCGGAGCCCGGGAGCGCAGGCAGCTCTGCGCAACCCTCCCGAGCGTGGCGCGGCTTCGCGCCGGGCTCCGGAGGGTTGCGCAGAGCTTCCTGAAGCCTGGAGAGCAAGAGGGGTCGGGGCGCCCCGCCCCCGCTCGCTCTCCAGGCTTCAGCGAAAGCCTCTATTCGCCCCATAGGACGCACACACATTTTCCCTTCATTTTTGGAGGGGAAAAAGTGCGTCCTATAGGACGAAAAATACGGTACATGTGATAACCTTGCGATGTAAAGAAGTTGGTTGGAGGGGTAACCCTAAGGCCCAGTAAAGTTTGCACGAAGCAAATTGTTTTCTCTCCTCGTCATCCACAATGGTCTGTCACGGCTGTCGGATTGAGTAGTCCTTCAGGTTTCACAAGGTCCTAAGCAGAGCCTTTTTAGTCCAGCAACCTGCCTCCCATAGTGGCCAAACAGAAATTGTGATTTTAGGTTTGAACTGTCCTGAGATCTAAGGTTATAGTGTGGTCTAAAAATTTAACAAATAATAAATAATAAGATCCTGCTGCGTCAGGCCATTGGCCCATCTTGTCCAGCATCCTATTATTATTGTTGTTGTTGTTGTTGTTGTTGTTGTTTTATTTATACCCCGCCCATCTGGCTGAGTTTCTCCAGCCCCTCTGGGCGGCTTCCAACCGAATATTAAAAACAATACAGCATCAAACATTAAAAACTTCCCTAAACAGGGCTGCCTTCAGATGTCTTTTAAAAATAGGATAGCTGCTTATTTCCTTGACATCTGATGGGAGGGTGTTCTACAGGGCAGGCGCCACTACCAAGAAGGCCCTCTGCCTGGTTCCATGTAACCTCACTTCTCGCAGTGAGGGAACCGCCAGAAGGCCCTTGGCTCTTGACCTTGGTGTCCAGCAGAACGATGGGGGTGGAGATGCTCCTTCAGGGATACTGGGCCTTTGAGGCCATTTAGGGTTTTAGAGGTCAGCACCAACACTTTGAATTCTGCCTGGAAATGTACTGGGAGCCGCATTCTGGATTAGTTGTAATTTCCGGGTCACCTTCAAAGGTAGCCCCACGTAGAGCGCATTGCAGTGGTCCAAGCCGGAGATATCCAGAGCATGCACCACTCTGGCCAGACAGTCCTGTTCTCACAGTGGCTAACCAGCTGCCTCAATGGGGAGCTTGCAAGCAGGACCTGAACACAAAAGCAGCCCTCCCCCCTCCTGCAGCCGCCTGAAACTGGGATTCAAAGTAGAGCAATGGTGTCTAGTAGCCATCACTGCCTCCTGTGGCAGCCATTTCCACTATGCTCTGTTTTAACAAGTGCTTTGTTTTTCCCCATCCTGAATCTTCAAACATCAGCATTGTTAGATGTCCACGAATTCTGGTGTTAGCAGGAGCAAAGGATGGCTCTGGGACCCTCCCTCTCCCCCCCCCAACCAAAAGCAAGAGCACCCTCTCTGTTGGCATACAACCAAGGAAACGGGGGCAATTGGCAGGCCCCCAGCTGGCTCCAGCCCACTGGCCAGTGTGCCAGGCGATCTCCAGTCCTTGTTGCAGCATCTGCAACCCACAGCTTCGAAAGCTGGGGCACGCAACTCAGCAGAGATAACGCGCAAACAGAAGTGGCAGGAGAGGTTGTGTAAGCATATCTACCAGCCGTTTATTCAGCATACATCAGGACAAAAGGAAAACATGTCCGATCCCCTTTGTGTCCAAAGCAAGACAGCTAAAAGCGAAAGCTATACACAAACGGAAGTTCCCAGTCTCATGCCTGTCCCTTAAGGTGGAACGGAATATTCTAACACTCTCCCCCTCCTGCTCCTCACTGAGTCCTTTTCCGAAGCATTGTGCCAGATTGCGGGATGTGCGGTGGGGGCTTACTGATGTTTTCTGAAGTTTTCATTTCTCTTATTTCCCCCCAGCCCCGGGATGTCACAAACTTCACCATTGGCGGCTTCCAGCCCATGAGTCCTCGCATCAACAGTCCCATGCATCCCAGCGCCGGAGGTACGTATGCTGGTGCGCCCTGGGAACTGAGTTGCACCTCTTTCCCCCTTCTGCCCCCCCCCCAGCAAGGAGGTGCACTGCTGCAAATGAACGGCAGCAGGAGATTGGAAGGAACAAGGGAGCCACTGAATAAGCTGCGAGTCTGTTATTCTAGGCACTAAAACAAATACCAAATTCCTCCAAAACTGTGGACGCTGACACGCACCTGCTTCTTCGCTGCCAGTGCGAAAGGTTGATTGACATCTGTAGCCCTTTAAAAAATGTGTTGTGCAAGGGGAAATTATTGGGTTGTCTTCCCTTTTGTTAGGTATTTTCTGTTTTTTTATACAGTGGTACCTTGGTTTACGAACTTAATCCGTTCCGGAAGTCCTTTCTTAAACCAAGGTGTGCTTTCCCATAGCAGTGGGGGACTCAGTTTACACTCAACAGGAAGCGGAACATGTTCTGCTTCCAAGGCAAAGTTCACAAACCAAAACACCTACTTCCGGGTTTGCAGTGTTCTTAACCCAAGTTATTTGTAAACTGAGCTGTTCTTAAACCAAGGTACCACTGTACAGTATTGTAATTTTTACGTTGTGCCCTGAGGTCTGTGGGTGTAGGGTGGTATGCAAATTTAATTGATATATATATATATATATATTAATAATAATAAATAAATTGTCCAGTAGCACCTTAGAGACCAACTAAGTTTGTACTTGGTATAAACTTTCGTCTGCATGCACACTTCTTCAGATATCTGAAGCTTATACACGAAAGCTTATACCAAGAACAAACTTTGTTGTTGTTTAGTCGTTTAGTCGTGTCCGACTCTTCGTGACCCCATGGACCAGAGCACGCCAGGCACTCCTGTCTTCCACTGCCTCCCGCAGTTTGGTCAGACTCATGCTGGTAGCTTCGAGAACACTGTCCCACCATCTCGTCCTCCGTCGTCCCCTTCTCCTTGTGCCCTCCATCCTTCCCAACATCAGGGCCTTTTCCAGGGAGTCTTCTCTTCTCATGAGGTGGCCAAAGTATTGGAGCCTCAACTTCACGATCTGTCCTTCCAGTGAGCACTCAGGGCTGATTTCCTTAAGGATGGAGATTTTTGATCTCCTTTCAGTCCATGGGACTCTCAAGAGTCTCCTCCAGCACCAGAATTCAAAAGCATCAATTCTTCAGCGATCAGCCTTCTTGATGGTCCAGCTCTCACTTCCATACATCACTCCTGGCCTCTAAGGTGCTATTGGACAATTTTTTTATTTTTTATTTTTTTATATATTTTGACCGCATCAGACCAACACGGCTACCTACCTTAATTGACGGTGCTGATGAGATTGGTGGGGGAGGTTGTGCACGACTACAGCAGGGGAGGAAGATGCACATTTTGCATCTTCCCAGGCTTGCAACCACTGACGTATCCGACAAGCTGGGGTCTCTTTGGGAGCGTTTGTGTTTCTGTGCTACACCTCCGTGTTCTTCCTCCCACTCTGCAGGGCAGCGTGGCGGCTTTGGAGGAGGCGGGATGAGCCGAGGCCGCGGGCGCAGAGATAATGACCTCATTGGGCAGACCGTGCGGATTTCCCAAGGCCCCTACAAAGGTAAGCTGTCCCCTCGCTCGGTGGCAGGAACACGGTCCAAGTTCTTGCTCTTGTTTCAGGAGAGCAACTGATAGAGGCTTAAAGGATAGCAGGCTGTGGGCTGTTGGTGGTATTACTATAAGATTTCTTGCCCACCTTTCACTATCGGGAGCAGGTTAAAAATACAATATTAAAGTGATTAAAACAGCAGTGTTTCCAGGTTGTCTCCTGTTAGTTCTGCAGCACATTAATTAGGACAGGACTTGGAAAACTGGTTTGGAAAGAACTCCCAGTACTCCTGAAAAGCCATTTTCAGAGGGGGGCCACTAGGGGGCGCATTGGAAGATGGCTGACAATAACATCTCTCCGACCCACACGAGGTAATTTGGAGGCTATGATGGGAGTAATTAGCCTTCCTACCCCCCGCCCAGGATGGTGGTGGGGACTGCCCTTGCCTGCTGTGCCCTATACCACCCCCGAATTTGTGGGGATGGGGGCACTAGGCACAAAGCCCTCCTGTGGGATTCCGGCGCTCCTGGACGCCGTCCCTGATCCGCGCCACTAGCTGCAAGAACTTCAAAAGAAACAATTTGGATGAAGCGAATGCACATATTTCAAGGAAGGAGGGGGAGTAAAGACTGCTAACAGAAGAGATCTCTGATAAAACAAGACAAGAATAAAACATGAGAAGATACGCCATGACATGGTATGGCAAATGACTGATGGGGGAGAGGGAAAAAAACTTTCCTTTCTTTCCTTATGTGATTAAACAAGAATCCCCTCCCCTCACGAGTCAGAAATGTCGTTTTAAGGACTTAAGCTGTGGATTTAAGGCTGTGTGGAGATAAACTTTCGAACCAAAGCATGTTTTAAGAAGAGCGTGGAATGTATAAGAGCTTTGGAATGACGCAGTTAAAAATGCCGTCGCCATATTGGGAAGTTCTGTCGGAGGTCTTGAGTCTGGGAGGAGAAAGAGAGAAATAGAGCTGTTTATATATTGTGGGTGAAACTCCTCAGAGGGACTTAAGAGCGACAGTTTTGCGAGATTAATGATGGAAAGAGCGATGTTATCTATGAAGGCGATGATATATGGAAACCATCTTGATTTGAGGATTGGAAGAACGGAAAAATTCATACAGGATTATTATTGGTGTTTATCGGCTTAAGGAGACTATCAGAAGAGATCATAAAGAAAAAAGAGAAAATACATGAACAAGATGTGATGTGGAAACAGCAAGATAAGACTGGATAGAATTATGAACTCTGTTTGGACTGATTTGGACATTAACGCAGTAGCAAGAAGATGATCAGAATCCCCCTTCGGATCTTGAAATATGGGTCCCCCCAACAAAATTTAAAATTCGGCTTTGTAATTCGGAATTTATGTGATGTGATTTAATTTGATTTGATTGGCCGGTTAATAAAATATATATATATATTTTTTTAAAAAAGAAAAGCCATTTTCAGCTGAGTTGAGCGTCATTACCTTCCCTGGAGGTGGTAGCTGCATGAGGTTAAAGGCCCCCCCTCGGTATTCAGCTATTAGACAGATTCATAGAGCATAGGTTCAGGTTGCGCTTGCAGGTTTACCATAATGGGCGTCTGGTTGGCCGCTGAGAACAGGATGCTGGGGTAGATGGGCCTTTGGTCTGATCCAGCAGTGCTCTTCTTATGTTCTTAACTCGCCCCTGCCAGGATTATCACCCCCTGAAGCCCTGGGATTGTAAGTGATCCGCAGTTAAATGAAAATGGGTTTGCAGTGGTAGACCTCCACAGATGAGGGATTCAGTTTCCCAGGCATGTGGTGGAGGAAGCTGGCTTAGTTTGGCAGTGCCCCCTATGTTGGCATTCAGCCAAGGAAACGGGGGCAATTGGCAGGCCCCCAGCTGGCTCCAGCCCACCGGCCGGTGTGCCAGGCGAACTCCAGTCCTTGGTGCAGCATGAATCTGCGACCCGAGCTTCAGAAGCCCGGGCAGGCTACTCAGCAGAGTAAACACTGCGCAAACAGAAGTGGCAGGAGAGGCTGTGTGAGCATATTTACCAGCAGTTTATTCAGCGTACATCAGGACAAAAGGAAACATGTCTTGTCTCCTTCGTGTCAAAAGCAAGAGCTATACGCAAACGGAAGTTCCCAGCAAGCTGTGCTGGAGTGTAAACAGGCCTGTGACACACAACGGTCATGCCTGTTCCTTAAGGTGGAACGGAATATCCCAATACCCTACGTGTCCCAGGTTAACAAGCTTGGTTCCGATCTCTCACAGGCTACATTGGCATGGTCAAGGATGCCACGGAATCCACCGCCCGCGTGGAGCTACATTCCACCTGCCAGACCATCTCTGTGGACCGACAGCGTCTCACGACCTTGTAAGAGCCGGCAGGGCAGGGTGTTTGGGTTCAGGATTGAATAAGGGATACAGAGGGGCAGCGTGGGAAGACACTTTAGACACCTAACTCCTGCAAGCCCTGGTGGGGCAGAGGGGGAGGGACCTATGGGGTCTGCCAGAAGTTGCTGGGCTCAAAGGCCAGTGGTCAGGGATGGGGGAAGTTGTAGTCCAGTGGCAGCTGCCTGCCCACAAGTTCCCTCCCCCTGTTGTACACGCACTGGTAATATACACTAGATTGGGGTCCCCTACTACCTGGGATTCCCAGAGGCACAGAAGAGCCAACACATTGTGCTCCCTGCATTCAGGGACTGTGGATACGCTGAAAAAGAGAGCAGGGGTTTTATGTTACCCCAATGGAAAGATGATTCCACCAAACTGGTTGACTTCCTTGAACCTCTCACGGACCTTCCCATCAGAGCTGCTAATAATAATAATAATAATAATAATAATAATAATAATAATATATTATTTATACCCCAGCCACTCTGGGCAGCTTCCAACAAAATATTAAAATACAGTAATGCATCAAACATTAAAAGCTTCCCGAAACAGGGCTGCCTTCAGACTGGCCCAGCTTTTGTGCAAATCATCTTAAAGCACCAGGGAATTTGGACTAGGTTTGGGAGCCTGCGACCTTCCATGCATTGCTTGACTACAACTCCCAGCATCCCTGGCCGTTCATTGGCTGCAGGGGTGGGGTGGTGTCTAGATGACGGGCTCCCATTGGCCCCAGCCCACATGGAGAATGAATGGATAGCTCCTCCTTATGCCTGGGGAATGCGGGGTCTGTTCTTTTCTAGAAAGTGAAGGGTGTGTGTGTCCAGATTCTGTTATTATCTAACGAGCATTTCCCTTTCCCCTCTGGCAGCGGTTCAAAGAAACCAGGTGGCATGACCTCCACTTATGCACGGACACCCATGTACGGTTCTCAGACCCCCATGTACGGGTCAGGGTCCCGCACACCAATGTATGGGTCACAGACTCCGTCACATGATGGTGAGTAGAGGATGGGGGGGGCCCACTTGGGGGCAGAGGTGGGGAGGACAGTCAGGTCTTACCTGTTGGGTGTGGTTTCCTGTTAGTTAGCGAACCACAGCTCAATAAAGTTACTGAGAGCCAGTGTGGTGTAGTGGTTAAGAGCGGTAGTCTCATAATCTGGTGAACCGGCTTGGATTCCCCGCTCCTCCACATGCAGCTGCTGGGTGACCTTGGGCCAGTCACACTTCTCTGAAGTCTCTCTGCCCCACTCACCTCACAAAGTGTTTGTTGTGGAGGAGGAAGGGAAAGGAGATTGTGAGCCGCTTTGAGACTCCTTCGGGTAGTGATAAAGCGGGATATCAAATCCAAACTCTTCTTCTTGCTAATTTTAAGGAGCGGAATAAATTAAGCAAGAGAAAGGAGATTTCCAGGATAGCACTGGTATACATGTAAAAGATGCTGCCTTTTTCACCCTCTGGTCTTGGGTGTTAATATCATGACATGCGTCCATCTTTCAGGAAACCGGACTCCTCACTACGGCTCTCAAACCCCCTTGCACGACGGCAGCCGGACCCCCGCGCAGAGTGGGGCTTGGGACCCCAACAACCCCAACACTCCCTCCAGGTTGGTGTTCCTCATCGGAGGAGGAGGGCGGGTTTCAGGGCAAGGGGGTGGATGGAGAGGCGAGAATCCGTTTGGGCCCAGCTGACCGCTTTTGCGTCCTCCCCCCCCCTTCCTTTTCTGTAGGGCGGATGAAGAGTTCGACTATGGTTTTGACGACGAGCCCACCCCTTCTCCACAAGGCTACGGCGGAACCCCCAACCCACAGACTCCTGGCTATCCCGACCCTTCTTCCCCGCAGGTTAACCCACCATATAACCCTCAGACGCCTGGGACCCCAGCTATGTAAGTGCGCTGGAGTTGGAAGGGAGGGTTTGTTGCTTCTTCCAGGATTTGTATTTCCTCCTCCCTTCTCCCCCTGGACTTCATAGAGCTCTCTTGATCTCTGCGAATGGAGAAAGCAAAACAAAAAGGATTTTATTTGCCTAAGATATGGGTGAATTTCTTAGTGTTTTGCAGTCCTCTTCTGTGTAGTAAACTGATGTTCTCCCAAACAATTCAGGATGATGATGATGATGATGATGATGATGATGATAATAATAATAATAATAATAATAATAATAATAAAAATAATAATATTTTATTTATACCCCACCGGGTATAAGGGCAGCTAACAAAAGCTGCATAAACAAAGGGCAGCTAACAAAAGCTGCATAAAATACAGTATAAAAACATGAATAACAATATTCAAAAATCAATTTAGGGGAAATAAGCATTAGATAATCCCCAGGGCTAGCTGGCTGAATTGGTCCTACTTGGGCCAGCGAGGAGGCCAGGGGAGAATTAGCAGTGTGGTCTCAGAGCGGGTGATCTTCATAAAAGGGGAGGGAAGAAAAGGGAAATAAAAGATCAGGCTGAATTCAAATTAAAGGCCAGGTGGAATAGCTCTGTCTTACAGGCCCGACGGAAGGAGGTTAAATCCTGCAGGGCCCTGGTCTCATGGGACAGAGCATTCCACCAGGTCAGATGGTGGAGGATAATCTCACTTCCTTAGGGCCTGGGACCTCTAAACGTTGGTTGTTCATGGACCTTAAGGTCCTCTGTGGGGCAGACCAGGAGAGGCGGTCCCATAGATAACGAGGGCCCTAAGCCACGAAAGGGCTTTAAAGGTCAAGACCAGGATGCCATTTATCTGAGTGTAATACCCCAGGGCAGTGAAGACTTGACTGTGTTTCCCTCCCTCCCTTCCTCCCTGTTCCTGACCAAAGCCCTCTCTCTCTTGGCAGGTATAACACAGACCAGTTTTCTCCCTACGCCGTTCCATCCCCGCAGGGCTCCTACCAGCCAAGTCCAAGCCCGCAGAGTTTCCATCAAGTGGCACCTAGCCCAGTCGGCTACCAAAACACCCACTCTCCGGCCAGCTACCACCCAACACCATCTCCCATGGCTTACCAGGTACTGTTGAGATTGGGTAGGGTTTGGGTCTCCTTAATACACGCAACCAAAAGCATGGCTTTGAGGCTGCTGCCCTGGAAAGCAGCTAAAGGCTTGCGGACTGATTCTCCCTCTCCCACAAAGAACGTGTACGCTTGTATCATAGAAGATTTGGGCCTGCAAACTTTTAAATCAATTGCAAAAATGCAAAGAGCTTAAGATCTTGCCATGTGCACAGTTACATGCACTATAGCTCGTGCAACATATAAATCAACCTGTGCCTCTGTGTCTAAACACAGAAGCAGACAGTCAGTATTACTGTTTGTTACATTTTACATTTGTATACCACCCTATATCACTTAGAGTATGCAGGTCTTTTTAAAGTAGCCCTAAAGAAGGTGAGGGACACGGGTGGCACTGTGGGTTAAACCACAGAGTCTAGGACTTGCCGATCAGAAGGTCAGCGGTTCGAATCCCCGCGACGGGGTGAGCTCCCATTGCTCGGACCCTGCTCCTGCCAACCTAGCAGTTCGAAAGCATGTCAAAGTGCAAGTAGATGAATAGGTACCGCTCCGGCGGGAAGGTAAACGGCGTTTCTGTGCGCTGCTCTGGTTCACGAGAAGCGGCTTAGTCATACTGGCCACACGACCCGGAAGCTGTCTGTGGACAAACGCCGGCTCCCTTGGCCTATAGAGTAAGATGAGCGCCGCAACCCCAGAGTCGTCAGCGACTGGACTTAATGGTCAGGGGTACCCTTACCCTTTCTGCTAATTAGACATCTATAGGATTACGCTGCTGTAACATGTTCCTTGGCTCCCAATAATATATGGGAATTGGGGTAGTTGCATCCCCTTCTTTAAGGTAAAGGTAAAGGGATCCCTGACCATTAGGTCCAGTTGTGACCGACTCTGGGGTTGCGGCGCTCATCTCGCTTTACTGGCCGTGAAAGCCGGCTTTTGTCCACAGACAGTTTTTTCCGGGTCATGTGGCCAGCATGACTGAGCCGCTTCTGGTGAAACCAGAGAAGCGCATGTAAACGCTGTTCATCCTGCCAGGTTGGCAGGAGCAGGGACCGAGCAACGGGAGCTCACCCCGTCGCGGGGATTCAAACCGCCAACCTTCTGATCTGCAAGACCTAGGCTCTGTGGTTTAGACCACAGTGCCACCCGCGTCCCACATAATTAGCAGTGCATTCTGTTAAATCCACAGAGATGCGTTTCGCTTTGACGTCAACCGAACCCTGATAACTCGTTGACTTTCTGTCTGTCTCTCCAGGCTAGTCCCAGCCCTAGCCCAGTGGGCTACAGCCCTATGACCCCAGGGGTTCCCTCTCCAGGAGCTTACAACCCCCACACACCAGGTTCCGGGATCGAGCAGAGCTCCAGCGACTGGGTCACCACCGACATCCAGGTCAAAGTACGTGACACCTACTTGGACAGCCAGGTCGTGGGGCAGACCGGAGTCATCCGCAGCGTGACCGTAAGTGGATGGATGGATATAGCTGTTTGCATGGGTTGGTCAGGAGACGGAGGGGAACAGGGGTGGGGGGGAGATTAAAAGAGTTGGGCAGGGTTCAGTAGCATAGCTTCCCATTGGTCAAACCCAATAGGAGCAGAGCAGGGCATTTTTGTCCTGCAAAGTGTCTGGCTAAGGCCTGGACTCAAGAAAAAGGAGCCATTCTGCCCTGGTCTGGACTTGTTCACCAGTGGCCCATGTGTCTAATGAAACGCCTTGACAGCTGTTTTGGGTGAGGCGTGAGAAACAGCCAGGGATTTGTTTAGGTGCTCATCATACTCCAGAGGAATCTCTGTGTAGTTCTCTCGCCCCTACTCCTTCCCCTGCCCCAGTTCTGAGCGCCCCTTACTCTCAAATAAAGGGCATTATAAGGAATGAAGGATCCCACTGGAGCCCTACCCATTAAAAACAAAAACCGTTAATGTCTGCAGTCTTTGAGGCCATTTAGGGTTTTAAAGGTCAGCACCAACACTTTGAATTGTGCTCGGAAACGTACTGGGAGCCAATGCAGATCTTTCAGGATCTTTCAGGACTCTCAGCGGCCGCTCCCAGTCACCAGTTTAGCTGCCGCATTCTGGATTAATTACTTGCTTGCCTTGACATCTGCAACCGGTCACCTTGATTCCCTCCCCTCTTGTCTCTGTCCCTCCTTCCTCCTCTGCCCTGACAGGGTGGGATGTGCTCAGTCTACCTTAAGGACAGCGAGAAGGTAGTCAGCATTTCGAGCGAGCACCTGGAGCCTGTGATACCAACCAAGAACAATAAGGTACGTGTAAGATGTTTCTCCTGTCTCAAGTCCTTCTGCTGTGATGATCTCTTTTTTTAAAAAAAAAAGTGCAAAAATATTGTATGGCAGCCTTCCCCCAACCAAGATGTTTTGGGGTACCACTCCCATTAGAGTTTATAGTCCGAAACAGTGGAGGGCAGGGGGAAGCAGGTTGCCACATTGCACTAAGTTACTGTGCTCTCCTGTCCTGAAGAGGGTTGACACAGGAGCTCTCTTGCTCAACCCCAACTTTCATTCTCGGTGGTGGTTGTGATGGTCTCCCCTCCTGATTGGCAGGGGTCGGTTCCAGATCACAGAAGGAAAGTCAATACTAGGAGAGGGTTAAGAAACTGGCAGCAGTGACGGTGGCCAGGGAAGCCCTTTTGTATGAGGCTTTTGAACCCAATTTGGTGGAGACCGTAAACAACTGCTGCTCATTCCGTTTTAATCACGGTGGTTTTCGGTTAATAATAATACCTTTATTGTCAGTGTACAACCTGTGTACCATGAAATTAACCGAGCCTCCCTCCCCACACACAAACACTCAATCTCATTGCACTCTGTGTGCTTGTCGCACAACACACCAACCCTGAAAGTCAGTTGCACTATATTCTGTTCAGCAGCCTAACAGCCCACGGATAGAAACTGTTTTTTAGCCTGTTGGTACGGCTGATTCTACTTCTATATCTCCTGCCCGAGGCTAGAAGATTAAATTGGTGCTGGCTGGGGTGTGAATCGTCCCTGAGAATTTTTCTCGCTCTCCTAAGGCATCGATCCCTTGCAATGTCATCTAATGGGCTCAGAGGACAGCCCATGATATCATGTGCTCTGTTCAGCACCCTCTGTAAAGACTTTCTGTCCGTGGCTGTCAAGCCAACGTACCACACAGTTGTTGCATCTGTTAATTGTCCCTACTATTGGTCCTATCTGTGCACACTTGGGCCAGTGTGGGGGTTTTTTGGGGGGGTGAGGTGTGGGGTGGGGTTGCTCCTGCTTTTGGATCAGTGACCCTGAGCTTCTCCCGATCCTGCAGGTCAAGGTCATCCTGGGAGAGGACCGAGAGGCCACCGGCGTCCTGTTGAGCATTGACGGGGAGGATGGCATCGTCCGCATGGACTTGGAAGAACAGCTCAAAATCCTCAACCTGCGCTTCCTTGGCAAGCTGCTGGAGGCCTAGAGAGAGAGGGGAAGAACCATTTTTGTGTGGGTGGCTGCTTTATTTCGTTCTTTTTTTAAGCATATCACCTGAAGACTGGTACAGCATGTCCTTGTACAGTTTTGCTCCAAAGAAAGTTTTATTTTCCGTGTTTTGTTTTGTTTTCTGTTGCTGCTTCTTTCCCCAGCTCAGCAGGTGATTTCCTTTTTTCTGGGGGGTTTGGGGGACAGTCTTGCATATATGCATAAAATGACTTCAGCAGAAGCCTGTGGGTGGAGCACAGCCGTATTCCCTTCTCTCTCTCTCTCTCTCTCTCGTAGCACCTTAGGCCCTCTGCTGCCATCCAGTGTGTAGCTTGTTATAATAAAATAGTCTCATCCACCACGTACGCCTGTGCTGTGTTCACCTTAGTAGAGAAACCGTCGCATTCAAGACTTGACATAAGAGCCATGAGTTTTGTATCATCTTCTTTTAAAGCTATTTCTGCCTTATTTCTGGAGCCAGGTTTCCTAGCGAACAGATTGCAGTTGTCTTCTTCTTGGAGTGTTAAATGCTGTTTACGTTTAATATAGAGCCAGCGTGGTGTAGTGGTTAAGAGCAGTAGACTCGTAATCTGGTGAACCGGGTTGGATTCCCCGCTCCTCCACATGCAGCTGCTGGGTGACCTTGGGCCAGTCACACTTCTCTGAAGTCTCTCAGCCCCACTCACCTCACAGAGTGTTTGTTGTGGGGGAGGAAGGTAAAGGAGAATGTTAGCCGCTTTGAGACTCCTTCGGGTAGTGATAAAGCGGGATATCAAATCCAAACTCTTCTTCTCTACGTTTCATACGAGGGGAGAGACCCTTCTGAGTTCAGAACAGGTGACGTTTCATGTTGCAGTTTGGCTGAGAAGACTGTTTTCCGCCTAAGTTTTCTCAGTGTAATAACCTGCTGGGGGTTTTCTTAGTTGAGTGCTATCAAAATGGTGTCTGCTGGCTATATGCCTTTCTTGTCTTCTGCATTTATTGATCATGGGCTGAGCTACCCACCACAGCAACTCTCTGGCTCCCACCTTCGATGGTGCAGTCAAGGTGTAAAAGACTGTCTATGGCACATTTCACAGGAATGAACAGAACAAGTCTTGGTATATCTCTTGCACAGATTCTACTGTACAGTGGTACCTCAGGTTACATACGCTTCAGGTTACAGACTCCGCTAACCCAGAAATAGTACCTCGGGTTAAGAACTTTGCTTCAGGATGAGAACAGAAATCGTGCTCCAGTGGCGCGGCAGCAGCAGGAGGCCCCATTAGCTAAAGTGGTGCTTCAGGTTAAGAACTGACCTCCGGAACGAATTAAGTACTTAACCCGAGGTACCACTCTATTCCCATATCCAGCCTGAGCTGGAAGGGCAAGAGTTCACTGCCGTTTCCCCCCTGTAGGGCCCCCTCCCCCCGATACAGCCCTGGGTAACAGATGTTCAACAGTGGAACGGCCTCCCTCTGGAAGTTGTGGACTCTCCTTCCTTGGAGCTTTTTAAACAGAGGTTGGATGGCCATCAGTTATGGATGCTTCAGCTGAGATTCCTGCATTACAGGGGGTTGGACAGGATGACCCTTTGGGTCCCTTCCAACTCTACGATTCTACTGTGATTTGTGTCCTGGGCATGCCAACACCTTTTAGAGTAGATTCCAGTTTAGTGTAGTGATTAGAATGTGTGAACATAGGACGATTACATCCATATACCTATTTCGCATTGAAGCTTGTTAGGTGGCAATGGGTCAGTTGCAACCTTGCAAAGAGAGAAAAGGAGCTGGTGCCAGTACAAAAAGCTAAGCGGATATTGGCAATAAAACTTCATTAGGCAGACATATCCTTGGGTATTGGTTGTGTGGATAAGAGCCTGTCATTGGCCCATATAGCTCAGCATGCTGTTCCCAGTTGCCAACCAGATGCCTGTGGGAAACCTGTGCAATAAACAAAAAATCTGCCCTTATTCCCTTACGGGGAACACAAGAGCCCTTATGGAGTCCTTTGTAAGTTCTCCATCGGTCGGAGAAAAGAAAAAGGGCAACCAGAGAATACTGAGAAGCAAAGCAGCTTCTAAGCCTGATCTAACTGTTACAACAGGGTGCCCCCTCAACACACAGGAGGAGTAGGACCCAGAGCAAAGGTGTGCCCGCCCTTATATAGACATTTTAAATTGTCCGCCCTGGAGTCCAAGACCACCCCCAGAAACATCATACATACTTCACAGAAAGGGGTGTAGCTCAAGACCACCACCCCAGATACATCATACCTACATTACAGAAAGGGTGGTCTACAACTGAGTGCGTCGTTTATCTCCTGCCTGGCAGGTTAACTGTTAATAGTTATTTGATTGGATACCCCAGGGAGCCTAGCCAGTCTTTTGTAATGACTTAGTTCCTGAGCCAGGTCACAGGCTCCCCTTTTCATACACAGACATACCCTTAAGACAGGATTTGTGAAGGAGGAGACAATGGGGGGGGGGGGGGCTTTTCCATTTTCCTTCGACCTTGCAGAGAAATGTTTGAGGTCAATTTGGGAGGGACAAAATGGGTTCAGGACTTTCTGTGGGGTTTCAGACGTGTGGTTTATATATTGATGTACGTGCTTGGTTGGTGCGTTTATGAATATATATATATATATACACACACACACACACATACACATACACACATACACATATATGACCTTAATTTTTTTTTATTTTACCTGCAAGCCAGGACTAGACCAGCACAAGGGTCATCCCCATCCTGTGAGCTCCAGCGACTGGCATTAGGAAGCACTGCTTCCTCCCAATTGTGGGGGCAGAGCAGAGCCTCTCCATGAATTTGTCTAACCCGCTTTTAAATCCATCCCAAGTGGGGGTGGAGGAAAAAACTTATTTTTTTTGCCTCGTGAGTATTTATAAACCTCCACCCCAAGAGAGACGAATCGTCGCCTTTTACTAATCGCAAGCAAGAATTTAAGAGCTGTGTGGAGTGAATTATTGAGTGGAGAGAGGACTGGTAAATATGGAGTGCGGAAGGAAAATTCTATGACGCAGTTGTTAATGGCGTCTTGCTAAGACAGGCTTGTCGAAGAAAGACGAGGGGAGGAGGACCAGGGTCATTGGAATGTAGATGATGGATTGAATGTGATAACCCTTTGTGATATATGTGGCAAGCTTGGGAAAATCAATAGGACGGACCGAGGATAAATTTTTGAAGAAGGGGAGTAATGGCGGCTGTCTTTATGAGATATGACTTTTCGAGTGTGCAAAATCCACGCAGATGTTGTTTGTTCCTAACCTGCTTGCGAAGATTATCAGAGATTGCAAAGAAAGGAATACATGATAACAACAAGAAGATGAAGAAGTAATAAAGAGACTATCTGGACAGAGCTGGATAGAATCGTTTGATAAAAGCAGTAACAGAAGTGATGTTTTGATTCTCGTTCGGAGCTTGATGTAAGGGTACCCTCCAAAAATGTAAAAATCTGGCTGTATAATTTGGAAGTAATGTGATTTGGAAATAATGTGATTGGATTGGCCTGTTAATAAAAATTATGGTTTTTTTAAAAAAAATCCATCCCAAGTGGGCGGCCAGCACTGCAGGAGGCAGTAGTCCAAAAAGCAATGAGTGACGAGGCGGGTAGGGCCATTGGGGGCTTCGATGAAGGCCGGGTCGCGCACGTGCTCTGCCCCTTTAACCTTGGCGGCCACCTTTTCCTGCCTCCAGCTGGCCCCGCCCCTGCGGAGCGCCAATCACTGTACAGGCAGGAAAATCCCGCCTCCGCCTCCTAACCAATAAGAAGGTGCTCTGATATTCGCCCCGCCCAGTTTCCCCCTCCCATTGGGCAATGCGGCACGCTGTCCGCTCGGAGTTCCCGCCCTGGAGAGAATTAAAACCCCGGCAATTTAGTGGGACGCGTGATTGGCCGAGAGCCGACAGGTGGGCGGGAAACGTCAGCTGATTGGCCAAGGCAGAAACGTCAAACGAGGGGGCGTGCGCCGCTTCTGGCCTTTCTCACCCCTCTGATTGGCTGGAGCGCTTCCTAGGCCTTACTCCCATTCCTTCAGCCTGATTGGCCGAGCCCGGCGCATGCGCCGCCCAGTGCAGCGCGAGGCAAGATGGCGGCGGTTGTGGCGGCGGCGGCCGCTCGCGCCTTGTCGGCGGCGGCTGTGGCGGGCGGGCGGCGGGCGCTGCTGCTGCAGGAGGGCGGCGCCTCAGGCGGGCGGAGCTGCCGGCGGTGGAAGCGGCGAGGCGCCTGGGCGGTGCCCGGAAGAGCGCTGAGCGCGGGGGTCCCTCCTCAGGCGCCCCCTCAGGCGGTGGGGGTGGGGCTGACGGAGGCCGTCCTGAGGGACGCGGTCAAGCAGCGGCAGCAGCAGCAGCAGCAGCAGGTGAGGCCAGTGGGCGGGGCGAGGAGGGGCCCCGGATGAGGGGGGCTCGTGACGTCGGCTGCTCCCGCCCCCCCCCCCCGGGAGACCCTGGGGGAGAGCAGCCTGCTGCTTCCTCAGTATCATGATCATCATTATCCTTGTTATTAATTAAATTTATATACCGCCCTCTCATCATCATCCGGGGCATGGATGAATGCTCAATAGCCAGGTTGTGCGGCTGACCTAAGCACAATGCTACTTACTGACTGAACTATATCTCAGTTGCATCCACATAACATAGACACAAGCCAGTGACAAACCTTAAACCACAGAGCCTAGGACTTGCCGATCAGAAGGTCGGTGGTTTGAATCCCCGCGACGGGGTGAGCTCCTGTTGCTCACTCCCAGCTCCTGCCAACCTAGCAGTTCGAAAGCACACTTGTTCAAGTAGATAAATAGGTACCACTCCGGCGGGAAGGTAAACGGCGTTTCCGTGCGCTGCTCTGGTTCGCCAGAAGCGGCTTAGTCATGCTGGCCACATGACCCGGAAGCTGTACGCCGGCTCCCTCGGCCGGTAAAGGTAACATCAAGGTAACATTCAACCATCATGATAATAGTTATGGAATTATATTAAATATCAGCATATGAAAATTAAACAGAAACCCACCCTTAACAATTGCAATAAATAATTTCTAAACTACAGTCAGTAGAACAACAGCAAGCCACAGTGCATAAAATAATACAGCACAAATTGAGGAGTGGAGGGTGGAGGGTGGGCCAAGGCAGGTGGAAGAAGGCCTTGCTTGACAAAGTCTCTACCCTCACAGTCCACAGATCTCAGGGCGTTTCACAAGATGAAATCACAATACAGAAACATGAAATGCACCGTCACCCCCCCTAGTCTTCCCCTCCCCCAGGTCCTGTTATTATTTGTTAAATTTACATATCTCCCTTCATTAGTATGTCAAGAGAGTCCTGTAAAGCAGGTTTCCTCAACCTTGGGCCTCCAGATGTTTTTGGCCTACAACTCCCATGATCCTTAGCTAGCAGGTGCAGTGGTCAGGGATGATGGGAATTGTAGTCTCAAAAACATCTGGAGGTCCAAGGTTGAGGAAGCCTGCTGTAAAGCACCTTAAGGCCGACTGGTTTGTTTATGGAATGAGGTTTCATGGACCAGAGTTCATTTTGACAGCAGGGTAGATGTTCTGAGACTCAGTTGTGTTTGCTGTAACAGACTTTAACATGGCAATCCTGTGGAATTTTTCAGTAACGGTAATTGTGACCTGTCATCTCCTTAATGAAATCTTAGTTGACTTAATGGGTTTTAGCTGATTCATCTTTCTTTGGATAAGCATTCAAACCACATTCAAGTGGTGGGCGGAAACAGATGCAGAAGTGGTAGAGAAAGGGATATGACATTTACCTTTGTACATAGGCTGCATCAGATATGCAAAACTCAGAGGGTTCTACAGACACGTGTTCACCTCCCCATCCAGACATGCAAGAAACATTATCAAAGTTTGTTTGTTAAATTATATACATTTATGCCCTGGCCTTGGCTACTTAAACAGGAAAAAGAGGATCCTGCAGTTTTGGGAAGCCATTCATTTCCAAATGTGTCTGTTTCTCTCCCTAGTCAGCAGAAGGTGAAGATGGAAAAAGTTCTGATGAGCAGCAAGAGAAGAAGCAGAAGGAAAATACTGCCTATGCAAAGAAGATGGTCCTCAGGATAGCAGGGCTTATGGGAGCTGGCAGTGGCGTAGCGATTATTTACATCTTTGGTGAGTTTGCGTTCATCCACTGAAAGGAATGGTTTGTGCTTTATGGTATACTCTAGAAATAAAAAAAAATACAATCTACGACCTTTTAAATGTGCTTGCTTATATAAATGAATATATGTTACATATATATAAAAATAAATATATGTTGCGTTGAGACTGCATCCCCAGTCCCATTATCAGTACTATTGGGGGGGGGGGTTCCACCTCTTACTCACTTTGACAGGTGTCTTCCAGCTGATTTGAATTGTGGAAATTCCTGGTTCATGTTTCTGTTCTTTCAGTGATGCAGCGTGGGTTGCAGGTTCTGTGGATTTCAAGTTGGGGGGGGGGGGTTGTATAGCCTTGCCAGGAGAGCATTGCTCTCTGCTGTGAAGAGCTTGTGGCCTGGCTCTGTCTTCCCTGCCTGTATAAGTGGCTGGTTGTCTGGTCATGAAGACTTCTCACTGGGAGGGTTTGCTGACAAAATACAGTTAACAATTTCTGCTGCAAATGCCCCCAAATCTGATTCTAGTTACTGTTGGAAGATCCAGCAGTAATTCCATGGCTCCAAGGGTGGGGCGGGGGTGGATTTAACAGTCAAAAAGCCTGTGCTGGTCAATGCAATACAGTGGTACCTCGGGTTACATACACTTCAGGTTATATACGCTTCAGGTTACAGACTCCGCTAACCCAGAAATAGAACTTTGCTTCAGGATGAGAACAGAAATCGGGCTCCGGCGGCAGCAGGAGGCCCCATTAGCTAAAGTGGTGCTTCAGGTTAAGAACAGCTTCAGGTTAAGAACGGACCTCTGGAACGAATTAAGTACTTAACCCGAGGTACCACTGTACATGCAGGTCCCACTATCTGAAAATATCAGCACATAAAGAATTACCATATTTTTTGCTCTATAAGACTCACAGTAAGGGGAAATGTGTGTGCGTCTTATGAAACAAATGCAGGCTGCACAGCTATCCCAGAAGCCAGAACAGCAAGAGGGATCACTGCTTTCTTGTTTTCCTCCTCCAAAACTAGGTGCGTCTTATGGTCTGGTGCGTCTTACAGAGCGAAAAATACAGTGCACACAAACCTTGCTATACACTCTGCAGATTCACTGGGGGGGGGGGGAGCTGAAGCTAGGACTGAGAGCAGCAACACCACCTCCTCCAGCACCTACTTCACTGACAAGATCCATTTACTCAGCCCCAGCAGCAGTGATTGCCCTCTTCTTCAGCCTGGCTGGTTCTCTGCAGGCTGGGCTCCAACATGCTCTCTCAGGCGCTTTCCACTCAGGGGCAGCGGCAGTGACAGCTCAGGGCTCAGAGGTGGCTTCTCTCTCGGCCTTGACCACGTCCCTGGCACCAGAGGAGGGAAGAGCAGCAGCTGCACCAGAGAAGGAGGCTCTGCCATGTTGTTCAGGGAGGGGATCCTGTCAGTGTAGATACATGGTAGGAAAATGCCAGGCTATCAGGAAGACACTGGGATTTTCCCTATAGAAAACAACAGAAATGGTTGGCTCCTTATGTGCCCACTTGCCTAACAAACAATTTCTGAGAAACGCTTAACGTTCTTCAAACAGGGCCGGCGTGGATATAGTTTGACATGTAATTGGAGTAATTGTGATAGTCTCTTGTTTATCTTGAGTTGATCTCTAATAGTGTCGGCAACAGAGGAGCTCCAGCTGCTGTATGCAAATCGATATTTCTTGCAGAAAGCATGGGGCCCCTTATTGGATCACAACTGACATAAGAGTTTGGTAACAGTGGAGAATTCCCCACGGAATCACTCTGATACTTCCTGAAATATGATCTGTGTTTTCAGATGGTTATCTCTCTCCTCTGACTGGTAAATGAAGGACCTTATTCCTCTCTTCTTCTGCTTGCCAGTAAGGTTACAATATTTTTAAAAAGTAAAATCAGCTGTTCTTTTGAGACTGAAATATCAAACACCCTCTTATTCTTACTGAATTGGTATTATATTTACTTCTTGGACATTGTAACACACCATTCTGTGAAATGATGCAAAGTGACCTGTTTTTTTTGTTGTTTTGTTTTTTGGTGGCAGGTAGCAATTCGGTGGATGAGCATGGTGTCAAGGTAAGCTGTTTCTTTCCTGAGTCTTTGACTTGTTAGGTGTCTTCCGCTAGGGGTCACTGTGTGCTTGAAATTTGCTGTGCAGTTGACTGCTGAATGCTATACAGTCATACCTCATGTTACGGATGCTTCAGGTTACGTATTTTCGGGTTGTGGGCAGTGGGAAACCCAGAAGTACCGGAACGGATTACTTCCAGGTTTCGCCGCATACGCAGAAGCGCTAAATCGCTCTTTGCACATGCACAGAAGTGCCGGTGCCTGGGCAGACGCGGCACTTCAGGATGCGAACATTGCGGGTTGCGGACGTGCCTCCATCACGGATTACGTCCAAAACCCAAGGTTCCACTGTCTCAATCTTGTAACAGAGTGAAGGTGAAACTTGGCAACTGTTAAACTTATTGCCTGCTAAGAACTGAACTTATTACCTGCTAAGAACTGAGTAAATAAGCAAGCTATAGAATATTGGAGGCCAGCAGCAGGATTCTGGTTGCCCCTCGTGTAGAAGATGGGAGTAGTTTATGTGCAGTTTTCATGAGTGATGGCAGTAAAGTGCGCTGCCATTTCTATAGCATATCTCAGCATCCAAAGGATTTACTGGTTGTCACGCTCTTTGAGATCTGTGGATCAAGGGTGGTTAATAATAATAATAATAATAAATAATAATAGAAGATTAGGCTGAGAGTTGCTTTTCCAATGCCATGCCTTTCGTGCCTATATCCAGCTTTATTTAAGTTTATGGCTCACCCTTTTTATGAGTTTAAGGCAATTTAAAAAAAGAGAATCAAAAGAATTGTAGAGTTGAAAGGGACCACGTTGTCAAAAGAAACAGCTAAAGGTAGTTTTAAAACTGTACTGAAAAGCAACTACAGTGGTACCTCAGGTTACATACGCTTCAGGTTACAGACTCCGCTAACCCAGAAATAGTGCTTCAGGTTAAGAACTTTGCTTCAGGAAGAGAACAGAAATCATGCTCCAGTGGCACGGCGGCAGCGGGAGGCCCCATTAGCTAAAGTGGTGCTTCAGGTTAAGAACAGTTTCAGGTTAAGAACAGACCTCTGGAATGAATTAAGTAATTAACCAGAGGTACCACTGTAAATACAAGTTTTAAAAGCAATACAGAATGAGTGTCCAAGGCAGAAACCTTTTAATCCATCCAGAAAAGCTTGCCCAAATATACACGTCTTTCTTTGTTTCCGGAAGCGTTTTAACCATTGTAGCGTGCTGGGAAATGGCAAGAACCCTCCAGGCTACAAATCAACAACTGGACCCCTCAGGTGGGGCAGGTGGCCCTCATAGTTTTCAGCTCAGAAATCAAGTGAGAGGTATAGAGCAAGACATGGACTCGCAGCCCTTAAGGGCATCCTGGAAGGCCTTCCGCCTCGTTCTCCCCAGCTCCTTATGGCTCTCCAGTAAACTCATTGCTGACAAGAAGGGCTCAGCCTGGAACACGTAACTCTTTAGACGTAACACATAACACTGCTTGGGGGGCAGGTCTGCCGGGAAGTGATGTATTTAATTTTAAATATTTACAGCATTTATATACTGCGCAGTTCCCAGGATGCTTTACTATACAAAGTACAACAAGCATCATTCTAAAACAGAGTAAAACCAGAAGCAGAGTAAATCAAGGTTCAAAACTTGCAGTGGAATAGCAACCGTATTGTTGTTGTTGTTTAGTCGTGTCCGCCTCTTCATGCCCCCCTGGACCAGAGCACTCCAGGCACTCCTGTCTTCCACTGCCTCCCGCAGTTTGGTCAAACTCATGCTGGTAGCTTCGAGAACACTGTCCCACCATCTCGTCCTCTGCCGTCCCCTTCTCCTTGTGCCCTCCATCTTTCCCAACATCAGGGTCCTTTCCAGGGAGTCTTCTCTTCTCATGAGGTGGCCAAAGTCTCGGAGCCTCAGCTTCAGGGTCTGTCCTTCCATTGAGCACTCAGGGCTGATTTCCTTCAGAATGGATAAAATACCTTAAAAGCACACACACACGAACTCAAGCTTGAAAAGCCTGGGGAAATGAGGCCGCAACCTAGATGGAGAGGTCATTCCATCGCTTCTGTGGCGTTTGCTGAAATAGCCAGATCTCTAGTAGTCACCCACTAAACCTCATTTGATGAAGGCACCCAAACAAAACCCTCAGAAGATATTAAGGTAGTTATATATATGGAAGGAGGCAATCCAGGAAGTAACCCAGCCCCAAGATGATTAGAGTTTTAAAGGCTAATACCACTAGCATGAGGGACACGGGTGGTGCAGTGGGTTAAACCACGGAGCCTAGTACTTGCCGATCAGAAGGTCGGCGGTTCGAATCCCCGCGACGGGGTGAGCTCCCATTGCTCAGTCCCTGCTCCTGCCCACCTAGCAGTTCGAAAGCACGTCAAAGTGCAAGTAGATAAATAGGTACCGCTCCAGCGGGAAGGTAAACGGCGTTTCCGTGCGCTGCTCTGGTTTCATCAGAAGCGGCTTCGTCATGCTGGCTACATGACCCGGAAGCTGTACGCCGGCTCCCTCAGCCAGTAAAGCGAGATGAGCACCGCAACCCCAGAGTCCGTGACTGGACCTGATGGTCAGGAGTCCCTTTACCTTTACTTTTTACCGCTAGCATAATGAAAAGGGTCATAGCTTAAAGTTAGAACACATTCCTTGAATGCAGACGATTCCAGGTTCGATCACCAGGTAGGCCTGGGAAAGATCCCCCCACCTGCTCCCAGTCCGTGTAGATAATACCGCACTGCTGATCTGTCTCATTATTAGGCAACTTCCTATGTTGGTCTGGGCCTGGAAATGGATTGGAAGCCAAGGTAGATGGTAAAGAACTGGACTGGATGTGATTTGATCATATCATATCAACCAGCTCCACTTAACAATCCTGTTGCTCTACTCTTGACCAGTTGAGGTTTCTAGACTGCTTTCAGAGGTGATCCAGCAGATATAATGCATTTCATTAAGCCAAAGGGTTGCAGCGGGTTGATAAAAGACTTTCCCAAGCCTCCAAGACCACTTCAGTTTCTGGCACCAGCGCTTCTGCACTCCCAGTTACTTTTCTCTCCTTCCTGGTATTGTCACCTGCCCCCTGCAACGTACCTTTCCCGCCACTCATTCTGAAATGTCTCTTGCCACTCCAGGCTCTCTCACTTGGGCCGGCTCTGATCCTGAACAAACGATACGAGCAAACCAGGCAAGCCTAACTTTGAGCAAAGCGAACATATGTTTCTTCATTAAGCACAGGATATAAGCTAGCCTGAGCCAAGTCCCCACCTTTCCCAAGTCCCTTTTATGCCACCAAAAAAAGACGTGGGTGGTTGTTTCCTGTTCCACTATGACTCAGCCCTGAGACCAGCAAGAGGCTGTGGGGAGAAGTCTGAGGCCAGGTTCCCATAAATGCTTTGTGGTCCTCATTGTAGCAGGCACATGTTGCCATGGATGTGTGAATGGGCCTTGCTGGTGGGAGTTTGTGCTACCTGTTGTCCTGGGAGCTTGAGCTGGGTAGCTCTGCATATTCAACTGTGGCTTTTACTGGCTCCCTTTGCTCCCTAACGCATCCCTTTGGAAACGATTGCCTTAATTGGGCTAATTGATGAAAAACCTCCTGCTACAGCCCATTTGTGGGTTTATTACAGGTCTCCTCTGAGATTTCGCTGCTGGTGAGAGGAGCGGGAACGTAGGCAAAACACTTCTTTCCTGGTCTGCTTCCTTCATCTCTTGTAGGAGTCTGGATGGGAAAATCTTAGTGTATAAAGTTCACTGCAATTTTCTGTATACTTCTGGGTTTAATTGCTTGTTACTGAAATAATACAGTGTTGGTGTACACCTGGAGCAAAGCAAGGTTATTGCACAACAGCTATACCTGCTTCAGATGGTGGTTAAGGATTACAGCATTATCTGTCTGAAGGACCCCGTTCCATGGGCCTCTTTTTTTGTAGCCCCCACCCCTTTAACATGACCGGCCAGTAAGTGGATTCTTTTGGCAAGTGCAATTAATTTGGGTACCTTGAATTCAAATGTGTTTGTGGAGGTTACAGCTTTTTAACTGTTCATTCTTACATAAGTTTGCTCCGAATGAAGCTTACTCCTATGTAAGTGGGCAGGGCTTTTTGAATTAATGTATTACAAAGCTTGGAAGTTAGGTTAGAGTTTGTTGGGGTTTTTTAATCAAAACTTCTTAATTATTGGTGCTTTGTAAAAATTGTGATTCACCCTCCATAGCTTTTCATGTGGGGCGGAGGGGAGGATATCACTGCTTTCTACACTAGTACCCTTCTATAACCATTTCAGGGAGGCTGATTAGGACTGTCTACTCTCTTTTGATATGCAGCACAAGCCTTGAGTGCTCTTGAGGGAAGGAGGTGTGAAGTGCTAGTGGCCTTGCATGTCACATACCCAAATTAACTGTTTTGAACTGTGGGTAAGACTTCCTTATTGCCTTTCTATAACTGGGCAGCTTTTGATGTTCAAGACAAAGCTGTCACTTCTCACTGTGCTGTAAACAGCCGCTAAATTGCCTTGGGGAAGTTGCCTGCAATATTCCTTTGCAAAGAGTTGTCCCAGGTGAATGGCCCTTCTTGCTTTCTTCCCTTCCCTCCACCTACCTCCTTCAGTTGGTGCTAACACGCTCCTTTCATGCTTCCACAAATTCCTTCTCACCTTTGCAGGCAGCAGGTCGGCTTATTGCTGGCGCATGCCAGCTTACTGCTTTTGATCATTTGTGCTAACAAGGGCCTTCCGGGCATAATTGCCCTCTTTTGCAGAGGTGCGTGTCATAAGTGTGTGTGCTGGGGTGGGGGGAGTCTCAGAATGCAAGGTTCTTTTGCCTATGCCTTGTCTCTTCCCTTTCTAAGTGAAGAAAAGGAGTTGCTGCATTTGCCTCTACGATACGATAATCTTTATTGCCATTGTCCCATACAGAACAACGAAATTGAAAAATCTACATAAAACATTCAAAACCCAACAAGCCTGCTATCCCAGCTATCCCAACCGGGTTAGCCCCCTAAAAACTCTGATACCCCATTTTTAAATGCGATATACTCCCACAGAGACTACATCCAAATTGCATTTGTATAGAAACTGTTTCTCAGGCGGCTAGTCCTAGTCTTTATAACCCTGTACCTTCTTCCAGAAGGCAGAAGCTGAAAGAGATCATTTCCGGGGTGTGCACTATCCTGCGCAATCTCTGCAGCTTTCTTATGGCACCTGGAAGCATAGATTTGATCCAAGGTGGGAAGAGTGCACCCAATTATTCTCTCCGCAGTCTTCACAACCCTGGACAGCATTGTTTTTTCTTGATGTTGTTGCTTGATGTTGTCAGAGGACTTGATCGTTGCTTTCAAAAGGGAAAGCCGTTTCATGCGGTAGATTGTGGCTCTTAGCCATGATACCTAAATTTACCTTTCCTATTCAGTGAAATGTGCCTCTGAGCACCAGAGTCCCCAGAGGGCAGCTCGATTCTCCTTGAACTCACGCTTTACACCCAGGCTTCCTGCAAAATGTGGGCGATGGCTGCTGGAGTAGAATAAGCTGGAAATATGCACAGTTGTAAGTTTATAGCAAAATATATCCCCTTTATAGGAATGTCCGCAGGGAGCGTGGCATCTGTCAAGCTGATACAGGGGATGCAGAGTTGAGGGTTTTCACAGCTGAAATTTCTGTGGAGATATTGGGGGATTGCCATGCTTTGAAGTGGTTGTGCGCCTGCCTTTCTCAAAGGTATTTGTGTCTTTCCCCTTACCTGCTGTTCTTGAGCCATAATAAAACCCCTTTGGTTTTGTTAATAGCCCTTTTTAGGCTGCCTGTCGCATTCATGTGAACGGCCGCAATGAGGCCGCCTGTGCTGGAGCAAATGTGTCTTCTCCAAAGGCCTTGGCACACTTCACAGCTTCCTGCAAGTCGCATGGCATCACCTGGGTGCAAGAGGGTCTTCAGGGGGACCTGATTTGTCTGGACATCTTTGCCTAAGTGGCTGTAAAATGGGGCTGGCCTTTGATCTGCCTCTCTTTCCCACACTGTTCCTTTTCCTCCTTCTCTGGGAAGTGTGGATTTGCAGAAGGCAGTTTCTTGATCTTTTTTTTTTTTTTTAATTACAAATTTCCTTTGTCACTCTTCAAGCCTTCATGTGCACAGCATTGATCTTCCAGCTTCTGGTTTTAAACAAAATGCAAAACTAGGTTCATTCTGGTGAGTTCCAAAAATATTTCAGCACGGATATCTTGAAAAAAGGCTTATGGATCCAGATGAACCTTGGAAGGTGGGAAGCTTTGTGACAGTAGAGAAAAGAGGGAGCTAGAAGATAGCACATTTAGGTCCAGCAAGGAAGAAGATGTAGAGAAATTGAAAGCAGCTTCCTCTTATGTCTTATCACCAAGATGCACAATTGGAAAAAAATCAGAACCTGGTCAACCCATATATTTGTGCATATTGGAATTGTACATCTGACAGTTTGTTTGTTTTAATTTTTGCACATCTCTTAGGGCTAGAAGAACTTCTTAGCTCTCGGCAGCTTAAAAGTTGGAGACTTGCACCGAGGGGCTTGGATTAGTTTGTTCACAGTGTTTTGAACTACTTGGTCCTAACAGCTGCTAAACATTTTGGAGCTGATGTTTAAGAAGTTAATATCTTCTCCAAGGATGTCTTATGAACATCAGGTAGAAAAGAGGCCCTTTTTGTTAACCACGTGTACGTGTCCTGGTGTGTATTTGACCCTGGTGTCTGTGGTGTGTGCTTTTCCGGATCTAACCCTCAAGGTGGCACTGTTGAACTTTCAAACTGAACTGGTTTTGAGATTCCTATGGAAAGTGTTTGGTTGTAGAAACATCCACAGAGAGCTGAAATTCAGATTCACCTAATTGCTGAGACTGGTTAACCCAGGGAACAAAATACCGATCTGAATGCTTTTTGCTGGCTGATGCACCCCAGTCTGTGTAATGCAGGTATCCCATCTGCTGCTTCTCTGGGTCAGTTTGGATGGCTGCAGTGTGATAGCATCCTGCACTCCCCCTCTCTCTCTCGTTCTTCTTTGCTTGTCTGGCCTCCTGTATACTCACAGAGGCACTTTTTACATTCTGTCTCCGTTTTCTTTTGAGGGAACCTGGAACCCCTGTCCCGAAAAGTAGATGACATGGGGAACATCAGTCTAAATGACTAGCACTAAACAACTTGAGCGTCACTCTTCAACATATAATAATCTGTTAGGTCAGTGCCTTTCAAACTGTGTTCTCCAACACTCTGCAGGTTTCTCAGAAGCAAAGGGGGATCCTCAATGTAGTCTAGTGTGTGAGCTTATTTTGAAAGGCAGCTTGTCTGCCCCCTGCACATTATCTCTTGCAGTGAGCAGGCGCTCGGGGAGTGATATTATAGAAAAACGGCCTTCCCGCAACTTGGTGCCCTCAAGATGTTTTTGATGACAACTCCCGCCAGCCCCAGAGAGCACTGGGAGTTGTAGTCCAAAACATCAGAGGGGCACTGGGTTGGAGGAGGACATTCTAGATGGTTTCCTTGTGGGGTATACTCACAATTCATGCAGGGAAACATCGCAGCCAAAAGCCCTGGCCAGTCCTCTGTTTTTGCACCCTGGAACATTTGCCAGAATATTCTGCGAGGCACAGGTGTTCCACAGCAGGCGTGCCAGGGGGCATGTGCTCCCTGGAAGTGCAGGGGTTTGAAGTGCACTGACTTCGACAGACTTCGGTGAATCCCTCAGCCTTTATGATCCCTCGAGTCTTCTTGGACTGAAACCAGTATAGAGATCTATCTTCTAAAACCCAGCCAGACAATGGTGCCCCTGGGGATGCCATCTGAATTGGGGAGCTCCTTGACTTGGGCCAGCAAGTGCCAGGGTGCTCTTCAGTGTTTACATGCCCAGTTGGCCTGACTTGGTAGCAATGGTGGCATTTGGTTAAGTACAAGAAAGATGGGGCTTGGAGGGCCTCTGACAGCTGCCAGTTCTCTGCTTGCACCCAGTTGTCAGCGCCAGTTTCCTGCCCTGCCAAGCCAATGTTCCACTGCCCTGTACAAAAGGGAGTTGGGAGATTAGACACTGGATTAGACTTGCTGTGTCTTAAAGTCCTTCGCCTTGCCATTTCCCAGTTATTTTACATAATCCCAAACACCGGAGGAAAGGCAAAACAAAGTGATTCATAAACTGTGTGTGTGTTCAGTGACTGACAGAATTAGTTTCACCCAAGAGCGCTTACTGATACCTTTCTCTGGACCTCTGCTCTGACAAGGACAGTCCCGGTATAGTTACTTTGCAACGTATCCACAAGGCCAAGAGCCGCCGTGACGTTGTCCAGAGCAGGTCAGTGCCGAAGACTTTGTGGGATTGTCTTTGTGGGAAGACTTTCTGCAGCTTGATTGACTAGAGGAATGGATCATTGTTTTCGTAGCAGGGTCTTGCCCATTTCAGGTCAGCAGCTGCTGGGCTTCTGCGCCTGTGTCTGCGAACAATGAAATCTTGCTTGCAGCCATTCTGTTGTGGCTTTCAAGGACTCTGCAGCACTCAAAACAGCTGGTGCATCGCTATAGAGCCTTTCAAACTGGGCTGGGCTTGTCCAGTGAGTCGTCTTTGCCCTGTGCATCAATGAAAATATCTGTTACAAGTGTAAAAAAGATTCAAAATTTACAATGTTACAAGTGTACAAAAAAGATTCAAAATTTGCAGGGCCTTAATTTCAACCAGCACAGAACTTTGGCAACCTGGAAAACAAAGTCCTTCAGGCAGACAAATCCATGCATGCAAAGCTTTGACCCATTTAAGAAGACAGTCTCACTTGATTTCCCCCCCCCCCTTTCTTTTCTCTCCCCCCCTTCCCCCACTGCTTTGAAGACTTACATCCTGTTCAGAATTTGGATGTTTGCAGATAACTTTGAAGCAGTGCTCATCAAGCTAGAGTACAGAAGTAAGTTCAGATTAATAGAGAAAATAAAGCAATGATGTAATTTTGGCATAAATGCAGAGGGGAAATCCCTGGAATTTTTAAGGAACAGTAGAAACCAGTATTGTAGTAGTATCCAAGGCCCAGAACCAGAGAGCTACTTCAGAGGCAAACAGGAGTTTGAACAGACATGATAGGAGATATAGATAGATAGATAGATAGATAGATAGATAGATAGATAGATAGAATATGTATAACAGCAGACACATACACACGTCCCCCAGGTGTACCACAAACTGTTTCACAGGCTGTGCTTGTGTGATGGTCATGGGGCTGCTAAAAATATCCTTAGGCATGTAGAACTGGTTGCATTTCTTTGGATCTTAATCTGATGTTTGCAAGTCTGAATGGCTCCTTTCCAAAGAGGAAGTGGTCTTGTTTTCTACTGAGAGGTTAGCTCTAGGAAAGAAGAGATGGAGAGAATCATATCCTATTAATGCCTTCAACAGTAACAAAAGTTCAAAATATGGATATGTCTTGCTTAAAGACATACCCACTCCCTGCTCCCTTATTCTTCAGCAAGAGGGCATGAAGGAGAAGTGAGCCCATAGAACCTCTTGAGGGCAGAGGCTTTCTCAGTTGTGGGTGCCTCCCCATCATCCGTCAGACTCCTGGAAGGGAGCTGGGCAAGGCAAAAGCAGTTTTCGAGACTCATGTTGAATCAGGATTACTAAAACAACTCCCTGCTATAGTTACCCTTTGAAAAATCTGTTGGCACTGTGAGCTTGAAAACTGTGATTGAAATGGGGTCTCAGGGGCTCTATAGCATCTAACCATGGGGCACATGAGGGTCAGGGGGATTAGGGCAGTGTTTATAGAAACATGCTGTGTGGAGGTTGCTGAAGCCTCTTCATTGATTGCACAGCGCAGCTCTGTCCCTTGATGCAGCCCCGCAGCTTAAAGGTGTGAGAACCATTTGGCTGCAGCCCCAAAGCTCAAGTTACTTTGTCAAGCACAAAATGGAATAACCCCCAGCTCAAAAGTGGTAGCTGACTCCTAAAAGCAGAGGTGTCAGGTGTTGGGGATATGTTCCCCCAGTCATGGCTGGTTGTGGTTAACGCATATAAGCACTCTGGACATGCTCATTGTTGCTTTCGACATGGTAAGTGTAGTCTCTTGGCATTGGGCTGAACTCTCACTAATAGCTATACTATAGATGCCTTTGTTTTTGCTGGGGTGTCTGTCACTGGTGGGGCCCATCAGGATGTGCCAAACCTGGACAAGGGACGATTTGTGGTAACCTGGAGGAAGAAAAATGGGTCAGAGCAGTTTCCTTTCCCCTGCGGCATTTAACGCATCATTTTGCGTCACAGCTGGGCAAAATTGCCATTTATTTATTTCTTGCATTTATCTCCTATCTCCAAAGAGCTTAAGGTGGCGTGCGTGGCTCTCCCCCTCCTCAATTAATCCCCACATCAACCCTGTGAGGTAGGTTAGGTTGAGAGGGAGTGACTGGCCCAAGGCCACCCCGAGAACTTCGTGGCTGAGTGGGGGGATTTGAACCCTGGTCTCCCAGGTCATAGCCCAACCTTCTAACCACTACACGTGGCCTTAAATCTGCAGTGTGGCAACGATCCTGTTACTTGAGATCACCAAATACTCACCAATTGCTGCCTGAAAAGAGTTAAGGGATATTTCTAATGGAGATAGCAAGTACGAAGAGGAAAGAGATTGAGCGTCTGATTTGTTTCTGTACCTTTCACACTAATTTCATTTGGTGCCATTGGCCCCATTGAGATTCCATTGGGAAGAGGCATATAAACTGAGAGGCTTTTTATACCCTGCCTTTACACAATAGCTCAGGGAAGCTCACACCATTGATCGAAACAGTTTGTAAGAGCTTTATACAATAGAAGAAGGACATAGTCCTGTTCGATGGATAGCTGACTTCCAGAGCCGCTTGCTCAATGCCACCTCCGGAATCCGTGACAAAACCTCCATTGCATCAAAATCCTGTTTCTTGTCTTCCTAGGGCAGCCTTTGCCAACTCTGGTGCCCTTTGGATTACAACTTGCATCAGCACCAGGATGCAAGTCCAGACAGCTGGCAGGTGGCAAAGGCTGCCCTAGGCCATCTTTGCGTAGGTGCAGCAGTGACAACTCCTGAACCCACGTTGTGGCTTCCACCAGCTCTGCAGAGCAAACACAGCCCCGCCCCCAGCCATGTCAGTTCCTCTTGTTGTACCCAAGCGTTGTCTTGCTAAGCTTCCTCCGTGTCTGGGTCTCTACCGTATCCTGCCTGTCCCTTTTAAAAATAGGTCCCTGCTCCTGGAAGGGTGCTGTGGGTTATGGGAAATAAATACACCCCCGCCACACACACACAAACCAACAATAACCCATGTTTTCTGTGTGTGCCACTCTTCCTTCCTGTTGCCCATTTTGACCCTGCCTGTTTTCCACTGACCCGTCTGCATTGGAGGAACAGCCAGCACGAAACCACTGTCCGCAGCTGCCACATCCCTGAGGTAGTTGCTGCTCTGTAAACATTTAAGGAAGGAAGGAAGCAAGTCATGCCGCTGCTATGCAGCCTCGTTCCAAGAGCATTTTCACTGGTGAGATTTGGCTGGCTTGTTGGAGACACCTGAGCAATGCATGCATCCATTCTGCTACAGAGCTCTAGCACATGGGTAGGCAAACTAAGGCCCAGGGGCCGTATCCGGCCCAATAGCCTTCTCAATCCGGCCCGTGGACCGTCTGGGAATCAGCGTGTTTTTACATGAGTAAAATGTGCCCTTTTATTTTAAAATGCATCTCTGGGTTATTTGTGGAGCCTGCCTGGTGTTTTTACGTGAGTAGAATATGTCCTTTTATTTAGAATGCATCTCTGGGTTATTTGTGGGGCATAGGAATTCGTTCTTTCATGTCCCCTACAAAAAAATATAGTCCGGCCTCCCACAAGGTCTGAAGGACAGTGGACTGGCCCCCTGCTGAAGTTTGCTGACCCCTGCGTCTATCATGTAAGAATTGCCTCCCCAGATCAAGCTAACAGTGGGGAGGCGTCAAGGAGGGTGGCCTTTCTGAATGCCCAGCCTGGGCTGTCTTCACCCTTGACGATTATCTTGATCTCTCATGGCTCATTGACCCTCATATTGCTCTGTGGTGAGATAGAAGCCTTTCTCACTACAATACCTCAAAGACCACCTCTCTCCATACGAACCTACCCAGACCCTGCAATCATCATTTGAGGCCCTTCTTCATGTGCCCCCTCCACGAGGGGTCCAGAAGGTGGCAACGCTGGAATGGGCCTTTCCTGTGGTGGCTCCCCATTTGTGGAATGCTTTCCCCAGGGAGGCTTGCCGTGGGCCTTCATTACGTACATTTAGCACCAGGTAAAAGCGTTCCTCTTCTCCTAGGCCTTTGGCTAATTAAACAATCTATGGCCTTTTAAACTGGGGGGGGGGGAATATGGTTTTGCTTGTTATTGTGCTATGCATTTTTGTAGTTTTATACTGTAAACCATCCTGTGATCCTCAGGTGAAGGGTGTATATAAATTAAATGAATAAAACGAATGTAGACCAAGCAAGCCTATAAAGATACATTTCCCATTTCAAGGTTTTCTGGTGCCCATCAAAGGTAAAAGGCAGCTGCCTGTTCCCAGGTGGGAATTTGGATCCTCCTGGTCCAGAATCTTGAATTGGTTGGGCTTCTCTGCCCAATTTTCTTTTATTGCTGATAAAATAGGAATGCCCCGCGGGGCTCTTGCTTCACAGGGCTGAAGAAGCTGAAATTAGTAAAACACTTGCATGAAAATCCTTCAGCTTTGCTTGCTTTCAGGATAGGTATGTTGCTGTGGTTTTTTAAATTGTGTTTTAAGGCTGATGTGTTTGCCTCCCCGGGCTCCTTTTGCGGGGGAAGAACAGAATATAAATGTAATAAGTAAACAATAGATGAAGCCCGAAAACTGTAAAATGGTGTGGGTACAGCTGCTGGGGAGGTTTTAAGACATAAATGGCAAAATAGTAACTGTAGCTGAGCCTTACTTAGGCTTGGTCAGAATAAATGAACTGCGAAATAGGCGCACTCACAGGCTGTTTCCCCTCTGCTCTTGCCTTGTGACTTGAAACATGCTGTGGAGTCAAAGGAATTATACTACCTTCTCTTTCTCTTTGCAGATCCCCGATGAGTTTGATAACGGTGAGTAGGCAGACCATCCTTCCTGCTTTTTAAAAGTCGCCTTGGTATGTTGGAGTCACAGCAAGCTAGACAGAGGAGAACCCTTGCTGGTAGCACTGGAAGACTTGGGAAAGAGATGTTGTACTAGGGGCCTTTCTGCTCCTCGGAATACCTTAGTCAGCGCTTGGGCTTTTTGTGTTTTAAGAATCCCGTGCTTTCATCCCTACAAATATGCCAATTCCCACCTCAGATCTTGCAGTACAGATGCCGTTTTGTGGCAGGTGTGTGAATGTTCTCCACGTTTCAGTTGAATTATCTCCTGAAGTTTTTGTAATGGCTAATTAGTCAAACGTGGAACTGGAGCAGCTGAAAAGCTGTAAGATTCATGCTTACCTGACAACTAGTCCTTGTGGTACTTTCTCAGCACAGTGATGAGCCCTCACTGTTTGTGTGGACCAGATTTGAGTGCATTTGAGAGTGAAACAGGTGCTCTGGTGGCTTCTAAGGCCTGCTAGGCAGCTTTCCAAGCGCTAATAGAAGAGAACTTTGCGCATGCTCTGGATGGAAACTTGGAGAGCGTGTCATTGAGGGCAGCCTTCCTCAGCCTGGTGACCTCCAGGCACTTTGTTGTTTCTTTCCCCCCAATTTTTTTAATTAATTTAATAATAATAATAATAATTTATACCCCACCCATCTGGCTGAGTTTCCCCAGCCACTCTGGGTGGCTCCCAATCAAGTGTTAAAAACAGTACAGCGTTAAATATTAAAAGCTTCCCTAAACAGGGCTGCCTTCAGATGTCTTTTAAAGATAGGATAGCTGCTTATTTCCTTGACATCTGATGGGAGGGCGTTCCACAGGGCGGGTGCCACTACCAAGAAGGCCCTCTGTCTGGTTCCCTGTAACCTCACTTCTCACAGGGAGGGAACCGCCAGAAGGCCCTCGGCGCTGGATAACACAAACAGAAAAACAAACAATACAAACAGATTCTTGTCTTATCCTTATTTTTTCTAAACATTGTTAAGTGAGCTTCCCCAAGTCCCCCCATCTGATTTTCATTTTACCTCATGTTTCTCAGTTTACATATATCATAATTTTAACCATTTTTTATCACGCTTACTTTTACCATAAGAATCTTCACATTTTATCCCTTACAAATAATACTATTTTAAAAAACACTATCTTCTACTTCTAACCCTACAGCCTATATCCACTTCCAAAGCTATTCTAAGTTTTAAATATTAGCATATTTTTTTCAAATATTCTTTAAACTTCTTCCAATCTTCTTCCACCGCCTCTTCTCTCTGGTCATGGAGTCTCCCAGTCAGTTCGGCAAGTTCCATATAGTCCATCATCTTCATCTGCAGACCTCCAGGCACTTTGAACTCCCCTTAGCCCCACCTAGCAAGGTCCGTGTTTGGGGCGTGACGGGAACTGTAGTCCCAGCAACATCTCCAGAGCACCAAGTTGGAGAAGTCTGAAGTATCCTGTGTTGCAGCCTGACCTTAAAGCTGCACAGAACAAAGGTCAAAAACACTAGAATGGGGGAAAGGGCCACCGTTCTTAGTTCTCAGTGGTTTTACATTAAAGCTGCTGTTTGACCCATGTGCAATTTGGGACATGATAGCATTTCGTACCTTGTGTGCATCAATAGACGTTCCCTGCTCAGGCACCTTCTTCGCAGCTCAAGGCACATCTGATAAAAGCCTGAGCCTGTCTTTAGCGTTTTAAATTTGTGCTGCCAGCTAGCCAAGCGCCTTCCGACACTTCAGTATTTAAGCAGCTGAGAAGTCTGGTGGGCAGGCTGGGGGGAGAGATGCAATGCCCCAGAAGTTAAGCTATAAATATGTTAATTCCTTGCTGTGTAAAACCGGAGAGTAAGGGAACAGCAACAGGCGTGACCTGCTCACCCACCCTCCTCTTTACAGGGGGGGGAAATTAAAACCCCACCTAACACTTCCAGGAATAACCAGAATTGCTTTACATTTCTAATTGGACGGGTGAAAGGTTTGGGGAGGAGGCTTTTTTCTGCGGCTGCCTTGAGAGCAGATGTACCGGTGCATAAACAGCACGCCTGCCCCTTGTCGAGAACAGAAGGTCAGGCGGAACTTGTGCCAGGCGGGGGGAGAGTTCACAATGCTTCTGCTGCGCCCCACAGACACCCAACACACACACACCCCCCGTGCCCGTTCTTGGGGGCTGCTGGAGGCAAAGAGCAGTCACTGAGGTTACGATGCGAATGAATGGCGAGACGGGGAGCCTTTGGGGCAGGGGAGAGGGGGGTGCGAGTGTGTGCTCGCCTGTCCCCCGGGGCAAGGCAAAACCATAGGCATTCCAGATGTCCTCTTTAGCTATTCCGCTTTTGAAGAGAGAGGGGCAGGTGGAGAGGCAGATTTCAAGACAGAATCCTGTGGGGAGCGAGAGCTTTGGGTCAGACTCTGAAGCAGCTTCCACCAACCTGGCACCCATCAGGTGTTTCAAACTCCCATCCCTCTCAGCCAGAATGACCAGCGGCCCAGAGCGATGACCAGGGTTGTCCTCACAAATACCTGGAGAGAATCGGGTTTGCAGAGGCCTCTCCTTTTCCGTACCATTGCAGAGCTGTCAACTTTCCCCCTTTTTTAAAGGGAAATTCCTTTATTCCGAGTAGGATTCCTCGCAAGAAAAGGGAAAAGTTGACAGCTATGCCATTGGCATGTCTTGGTTGCCTGAGATTTTGCTTTGCAGCTGCCGGTTTGGCTGGGACGACACCCTTTGTGAGCCTCTGGCCCACGGGGCCCCCCAGACGCGATTCTCTACTCAGAGTGCTTACTTTTGGCTGTTAACTTTGGGTGTCTCCGACGGTCCCGCTCCGCTGAGCAACCGTCTTCTTCCCAGCATCCCCTCCCTGGTGCATTTGCCAAAAAATGCGCACTTTTGAGCTTGGTTTAGTGAGGACACTGTTGGGCTATGTCCTGAAATACTTGCACATGAGTGGGGTCATTTATTTATTAATTTATTTAACAGGCTTTCGTCGTCCAGGAGTTTCAAAAGCGAACAGAGGCTCTTGGGGGGGAGAGTCTGTACAATAGAAGGCCAGATGGAACTTAGCGCAGGGCGTTCAGAAAGCAGATTGCCCAGTTAGGGGAACTTTTCCGATAAAATATGTAGGAAGCCAGTAGGGAGGAGAGGGTGTTGTGGTTTTTTTGTGTTTTTTTGCCTGGGATAGGAAGCTTCTTTCACCAGCTCCTTTCAGCCGGCCTGGCATATGCTCCCAGGAGATTAGAAGGCATTCTCCAGTCGTGGCCCCATTGTTGCCCACAATAGATTTATTATTTCTCTTCCCCACCCCCACCCCCTCCTCACCCCGTTTACACTTCCCACCACTTTCCCTGCCGTCCAGATTTTCAGCTAACTCCCCAACCTCATCCACCCATTGACAGAAAGTTGTACAGGTTCCTGTTGGCACGTTTTGTGTAAGCTGCTCTGTCCCGGTCCTTGCGCTGGGAGCACCGAAATTGCTCTCTGCAACCCTCCTTCGCTCTCCTTGTGTCTTATTTAACTGTCAGCTTACTTCCCCCTAAGGAATCTTTAAAAGCTTAGATTTTAAAATGGCTCACCATTCATTGGGAGGTGTCTAACACAGTCTTCCCCAAACTTGGGTGTTTTGGGGTTTTTTACTACAGTTCCCATCATCCCTAGCTAGCAAGACCAGTGATCGGGATGATGGGAATCGTAGTCCAAAAAAAGAGCTGAAGACACCCAAGTTTGGGAAACGCTGTGCTAGCATTTTACAGCAAAGAATGGAAACAGCAGCCAGTAAAATGGGCAGGTGAAAGCAAGAGCCCAGGTTTAATAAACAGCAGCAGAAGCAGCGCAAGAAACAAAGCCAAACATCTTTAAAATCAAGGACGTTTGCGGAAAAGTGTCTTCGGCTTCCTTTGAAAAGACAGCAGGGAGGAGCTGGATCTCAGAGAAATTAAGGACTGCCATACTGAAAGACCTGCTCCTTATAGATCCCTTAGCCCACCAGGTGTTGCTGAACTACAGCTCCCATCAACCCCGTCAAACATGACCAGTTGCCAAGGATGATGGGAGTTGTAGTTCAGCGGCATCTGGAGGGCCAAAGGTATAGTTTTTAATGTTTGATGTTTTAATTTGTTGGAAACCACACAGAGTGGCTGGGCAGCATATACTACTACTTCTTCTTCTTCTTCTTCTTCTAATATTTTATTTCCCACATCTGTTGTTGGGGCTAATGTACATCATATGGAAGCCAAAGCAAAGCCTCTCCAGAAGCTCCCAAGGTGGATGAGTGGGAGGAGAGCATTCCTTGAGACAGAGAAATCCAGTCTATTAGATAATGTAATATATGGTGCAAAATGATCTAAATCATGCTGCCCACCCCTAGTTATCTAGCCTGTTTACATATACAGAGCTGGAAGACTGAGCCTGTCCTTTGTTGCAGCAAACCAGATATCAAAAGCTTTAGGGCAGGTTACAGTTTATGTAAATAAATACCAATTATTTGAGCTTTGTCCTTGACCAGCGAATGCCTGCCGGAATTTTTAAGCTGGTTTCTAGAAAACAAAACTAATGGCCTTAATTTTTTTATACCGTAACGTCGTAGGTTGCTAGAAATGTGCAGACACTGAAGCAAGTGTTTGAAGCACAAGCGGCCGCTTGCTTTGAAATCAGTCGACAACATAGACTGTATTATTGTGGCCAGTTGCATCTTTCTGTGGTGCGCGGAGCCTCCTCAAGTAAAGCCTTGTTTCTTCTCACAGGCTCTGTTGACCGAGTAAAGAGATTGATCTAAAAGTTGGAACAGATTCTGGTGCATCCAAGTTGGATGAGCATTAATACCGGTTTAACTTCGTTCCTTCCCGTTGCAGCCAACTGTCTGAAAATGAGGCGTTTCAGTCTGGCGGTGGCCAGCGGCAGCAGCCTCTCAGCCAAATTCCACCATATAAGCCCCCGGCAGACACCTGAATCCCTTTGGCCTGTGTGTTGGTGCAGCCAGTCATCCTCCCCAGCTGCTCAGCTTGAATTATCATGACAATGGCTCCCAAATTACGCCCCATTCAATGCGCCTGCCTTTGATTGATTAACTTACAGTTTCTGTTTGAATAACCCTGGCGCTAAGATGCTGAAGCTGTAATCTCAGAGGGATAGTTAACAGCGCTGGTGTGGGACTGTGGTCTCGGCTCACACGCTCTTTCTTCTTCAGCCTGACCTCTGCTTAAGTGAGCTGGTAATTGAGGAATCCATTAGTATTCTTTTGGAAGGACTGCAGGACTCCGCATATGTTCAAACTGCATCAGATGGCTTGGGGGGGGGCTGGGGGGGTGTTACAGAACAGGGAGCCCCGGCTAAGCTGCCAGCCACAGAGCCCTGCTTGGTTAATACCCATTCACAGATAGATTTAACTTTTGGCAGCCTTACGCTTACTAGCTGCTGCAGCAGCAACAGAATCATAGAATTGCAGACTTGGACAGGACCCAAAGTGTCATCTAGCTCAATCCCCCTGCAAAGGCAAGAATCACAGCTAAATATTACCTCTCTTGGTTCTGGGAACACTTTTCAGTCCGGGAGGGAGTTTTTTCTTCCCAGTGATAAATGAAACAACAAGCCAGCCTGAACATAAACTGGCTTGAAACAGATATAACTGGAATAGCTTATCCAGCCCCCCCAAAGATTCCCCAGGAAGTGTAGTTCTTGATTTCTGAGGGAGCTGAGACTGTTTTGCTAGGTCCCCCTAGATTCTCTGCCTGAAGCCTTGACAGTTAAAGCAGAAAGGCACACCTGCGTGAGTAAAGTCTACCAGCGCAGAGACACGCACCGTCCCTCCTTGACGAAAAATCCCCTCCAAGTATTTGGAGGGAAGAAACGAAGTTCAGACATGTGCAGAGCATAAAGTCAGGTGCCTTGACGTTCCTGCAAGGTGTTTCCCATGGTTGACCCTGTTCTCTAAATTGGCTTTCAGATCCCGTAGTGATCCAGCAGCTCCGAAGATCATACAAATACTTTAAAGATTACAGGCAGGTGAGTGAGCCTTCCGTTCCTGATTCTCCCCGAATCTGTTCCTGATTCTCCCCAAACGTAAAAATTGGCTTCCCCTAAGTGTCGGCCGGAGCTTTATCCTAACTGGGTTTTTAAAAAGGTAAGTTGCTGTGCAGGCACTTCTATGTCCCAAGAGTTCAGGCCCTCGGATCCTTTAAGTTTAAAGCAAGTTCCTGGTTGTGGAGAAGCACAAGGAGACCTTAACACTCCTTTGCCAGGATTAAGTGCCGTGACCAGAAGAAAAGCTGGTTTTGTTTTCTCCCGTTGAAACACCTGTTTGCAAATGGGTGCTGCTACTCTGAATTCTACGCAGCAGTTTTGTTGATTTCAGCCCAGGGGCACCCAGAGCCTTTGTGTGCGTGTGCCAGTGGCTCTGAACTCTTTCTTCTGCCGGCTTTATGCTCTGCATTTAAGCCAATGTCATGGCTTATTATGGGTTTGTATGTTGAAAACAGTTGTTGCTTTTCCACACACACACACACACACACACACACACACACAGCTCAGAACTTATAAGTGACATTTGAAGATGGACTCCGGGCATCTTAGTGATGAGCTAGTTTTATTTAAGCCAAGTCTTACACACAGGAATGCAGGAATCGCAGCTAAAGAACCCCTGACAGATGTCCATCCAGCCTCTGCTTAAAAAACAGATCCCAGGTTCCAGTAGAGTGTGTTCCACTGTCAAACAGCTCTTCCCTACAGAAAGTTCTTTCTGATGTTCAGTTGGAATCTCCTTTCTTGTGATTTGAATCCATTGGCTCAGTTTCTGCCCTCTTGAGCAGCAAACCCCCCCCAAAAAAACAACAACAAGCTTGCCCTTCAGATATCTGAAGATGACTGTCATATCACCTCTCAGTCTTCTCTTCCCAAACGACCCTTGTGAGATTGAAGTGTGTGCAGGTGGATGGACTGGTTAAAAAAGGAAGCAAACCACCAGTCACCAAGCCTGACGGGCCTTGAGTTTTTTGTGACAGTATCTGCATGGCTTCTGTTCCTGGGTTATTGCTTTGCTATCAGCACCTCTGTGCCTCTTGCCGCTGCTGTGCGCTGAGAATCCCATCTGCCGCCAGGGTGATAAAATCGCTGGCCTGAAGTCTGCCATTGCCAGCGTGCAAGCTGCTTTGAGCCCGACAGCTTTGCTTTGCTTGGGCGCTCATGTTCCTTTTAAGGACCGTCGCCAGGCACAGCTGGGGGAGGGGGGGGAGTCCGCTCTACAAAGACTTTATCCTTGTAGCAGCTGCAGGAACGCACCTTGGCTTTTCGGTCTGTCGGGATACCGTGAAGACTGGCTTTAAAACGAACTGCAAAGTTTGAAGGTCTTTCCAAAGAAAAGAAGAAAACTTGCACTGTGTACTCTTGTGTTGTGTTTCTCCGCTTAATTGAAAGAAGTAATAAAATGTACAGATCAGCACAACTGTTTGGACATAATTGAAGCAGTCTGGATCCAATCCGATCCTCAGTATGCGGCTCCAGAATAGCGGCTGCTGCTGCTGCTGTTAATTATTTCCTTCCTTTTTACCAGACCAGAACTGAAGGTGTCATCAGATAATGAAAGATTATAGTTAGAAAGTAATTAAACTCCATTAGCTTTGGCTGGTAGCCCTACTGTGCCCCTATGTCAGGGGTCCTCAAACTTTTTCAGCAGGGGGCCAGTCCACTGTCCCTCAAACCTTGTGGGGGGCCGGACTATAGTTCGGGGGGGGGAATGAAAGAGGGACAGTGAGTGGTGCGTAAAAGAGCTCCGGAGAGGGGCTGGCACCAACAGAGCCCAGCCCCCTTCCTCCTCTAGGCAGGGCAGGGAGAAGCCAGGAGGAGGGAGGGTGGTAAGAGCCGCCGCAGTGTGAGGGAGAGGGAAAGAACGTGTACTGGACGTGTTCCTGGACTGTCCGCGGGCCAGATTTAGAAGTCACTTGGGCCTGATCCAGCCCTTGGGCCTTAGTTTGCCTACCCATGCCCTATGTGGACAGAGACAGCCTAACTTCTGTCTCTTACGCTGTGGTAACCTCTAAGTTGGATGCCCCGAAGGAAGGGTCTGTCCTCCACTCTTTTAACTGCTGCTGCTGCTCTTTGTTTGTGTCTCTTGCAGATGATCATAGAGCCAACCAGTCCTAAGCTGCTTCCAGACCCCCTGAAGGAGCCCTATTACCAGCCCCCTTACACTCTAGTCATCGAACTCACAGATGTTCTCCTTCATCCGGAATGGTCGGTGCGTATCCATCCTGGGGCAGCATTTAGGGAGGTGTAGCAAACATACTCGTTTCCCCCCACCCCACCTGAGTATTACTTGGTCAGATTAAGTGATATGGTAGCCTATCCCTTGACGGACAGCACAGAGGACTGTTGCCTGCACTCCTGTTTGCAGTGCAGTAGCTGGGATATGCAGTAAGAGCTGCCTTAGTATTTGGGGACGGGTCATGGACTTTTCCTGATCTCCTGCCAGCACTGATCTGTGCTGGTTGGCAAGCGCTCTTTCTGTGCAGCTGGTTCTGTATCTTTCTCCCAGGACTCTACTTTCTCGCCTCTTGTACCCCAACCGCCCTGACGCTGTTCTCCCTCCCTCCCTCAGTTAGTGACCGGCTGGCGCTTCAAGAAGAGACCAGGCATTGACAACCTGTTCCAGCAGTTGGCGCCTCTCTTTGAAATAGTCATCTTCACCTCTGAAACAGGCATGGTGAGTGCTCTCTCACTGCCCCCCCCCCCAAGGCATGGCTTGGCTTCCTTAGTCCTGGAGCTACAGCAAGGCGGAGTCAGCTTCTGACCCTGGGACCCTGATCCCAGGAAGCAAAGATGGCTCTGCCTAGGCGGAAATATAGGTGTGCACCACTTTCCTCCTCCAGCGGCGTATTCCCACACAAACCCTCTCTCCTCCGCTTTCGTGTGTGTTTTTGTGTGTGTTAAGGAGGGCTGCAGGGATGCTTCTCTACCTGCAGCCACTCAGGGCAGGCTGGACAGCGGGAGAGCCTTGAAGGGGGTTGTAAGAATGAAGGACTTAAAAGGGTTGTGGGAATGTAAGAGCCCAGAGAAAGCACGTCAAGGCTGGAGCCCACACACACACACACACACACACACACACACACACACAAATACTTACACATACCTACAGGACCGCCTCTCCTGGTATGTCCCACGGAGGACCTTACGGTCTTTAAACAAAAACATCTTGGAGGTCCCAGGCCACAGGGAGGTTAGGCTGGCCTCAACCAGAGCCAGGGCCTTTTCGGCTGTGGCCCCGATCTGGTGGAACGCTCTGTCACAAGAGACTAGGGCCCTGCGGGACTTGACATCTTTCCGCAGGGCCTCCAAGACAGAGCTGTTCCATCAGGTCTTTGGCCAAGGCACAGTCTGACCCCCTCCTTTGGTAATTCTTCACAGAACTCTAGCGCAATGGTTGCCATCAATTTGATTCTGAACTGATTTTAGAATGAATTGATTTTAGAATGATGTATTATTTTATTGTTGTTACCCGCTCTGAGCCCGGCTTTGGCTGGGGAGGGCGGGATATAAATAACATTTTGTTATTATTTTATTTTTATTCTTATTATAAATCATGCAATCCGAGCACACTTGCCATGTTTTGCTTTTGTTGGATGTGGGGAAAGGACATGAAAGCTCCACCCCAGACTGTTACCCATCTTATCTCAGGAACCATAAACGCTAGAAGTTTGCTGTTTCGTTAAAAAATAAAGAAACACTGGGCTTCTTGACATCCTGAATTCTGTGCCAAGTGCCACATCCCACATCTGCATGGTGCAAGGGCTGGCAGGGGTCCACAGTTGGGGTTGGGGTCCCCAAAGCCTTCCAGCGGACTCAGGAATTTGTGTCGTGTAGGAGAGGGCCGGCCTGCCTGCCTGTCTGCCCAGCACCTCCTGGGTCAGCCTCCTCCCTTCCACTTCTCCTTTCTCACGCTTGAGTGGCGGGAGGGGAGTCCCACAGGGGAGCGTGCCGCTGCTCATTTGAATATGTATGGGTCCAGCCGGACAGCCATTCAGCCCATTGAATCCAGGCTATTACTGTGCTAATTGAGTGGGCCTGTCCTTGTGGGGAGAGAACAACAGCGCGGCCAGGAGACTTGTGGGCAGAAGACAAGGGAGCAGCCTGGCTTGTTTGCTCTTAGCACATGGGATTCTGTTAAACCCAGGTCTAAAGGGCTATCTGCGTTCAGAGCTGTGGCTCCAGTGACAACGTGCGTTAATCTGTGGTGCTTTGCAGTTTAACAACCACCTGACGACCCCTTCCTAAGAGAGTAGACGCATTAAAGAGGGTGTTTTTTGGTAGCTGGTCCACGTTTATGAAATGCCTTCCAGGGAACGCCTAGCCTGAGCGTATTTGGGAAGTGGTGCAGGCTTGTCCAGTTTTGGACCGGATGTCAACATCTGTCTGTCTCAATGGGAGAGTGTGCCTTTTGGCATGAAGTCAAACTCTCGGAAGGTTACAGCGCCTGCTGCAGCTGTGGAGACCGATCCGGGAGAGACCTGTTTTGTTGCAGCTGAATTTTAAGCGACAGCCCTGGCCTATGAGGAGCCACAGCAAAGTCCGTTAGTGGCAGAGTGCCCCACAGCTGGCCAAGACCTGGGGCACAGGTTGGCACAGTATCCCTCGGGGCGGTGAGACTTGTTCCTTTTGCTGGTGACAGCAAGAATAGACAGGCCAGACCCTCGAGGCACATTCTTTATCACTGTGTGTGTAATCAAGCTGTGTGTTTATTTGGGAAATAAATGTGCCAGTACGGCCTCCTGAACCAGTATAGTAAGCAGCTGAATGGCACGATGCAGAAAGCACCTTCACTCGCTCTTCCCACTGTTACAAAGACAGAGCCTGGAAATGTTTTGGGCATGTGAGGTGATTCCGCTTTACCCTTCTCCATTCCAGACCGCTTTCCCCCTCATCGACAGCGTGGACCCTCACGGGTTCATCTCCTACCGGCTTTTCCGCGATGCCACGCGCTACATGGATGGGCACCACGTGAAGGTATTTGCAGCCAGGCTTTCCCTGGGGGGTGGGGGGAGACGCCCAGCGGTGTTTGTGGCCTTGTGTGTTCATGTGCACGTTTATCTCTGGGTGGAGACATCTGGATGGCACCAGGTTGTGCTTGTCATCCCTCTGGGGGAAAGTTACGTCTTTCACAACCAGGATTTTGCTTTTTATTCCTCCCCTCCCCCTGCAAGTGCACCTAATACTTCCGGGAGGGTTTGCTCTTTAGCGAGCATCGATGAGAGGACCCGCTTCAATTCCCAGACTGGATCCCCCGGTGCCTCCTTTGAGAGCTGTGGCCAGTTCGGGGTGGGCTTGGGGCTTGGCGCTTGACGCAGAGCCCCACAGAGGAGAGCACCTGCGGGATTTCTTTTCCCTTTTACCAGTTGCGTGCCGAGTGCTGGCTGAGCATCTTGATCTCGGCCTCCTCCGATATTGCCTTAAAATCACTGAGAACGGGTGTGCTGCAATCTTGACTCTTCACACTGCCACAGGTTTAAGTTCCAGAGGGGCTTAATGCGCACGAAAATCCACAGGAATGCACTGCAAGGGATTGAGACCTTTTGAACGTCCCGACGCTCCCGGTGGGCTCTGGCAAAGGGACGCTGGTCCTCCCTGTCTGCATCTCCTTGCAGAGCGATGTTATGCAGCAGCAACCCGGGCCTCCCTTGCAACCCTGCCTCCACAGCTGTGTTTCGAACCCGTGGCCCCGCTACCCAGCCTAGGCGAGCACAAGGCTGGAGCAGCAGGTGCCCTCCTCGTGTTCCGCAATGCGAGTTCCCCTGTGTCTGTGCTCCACAATAGAGTGTGGATGCCTTCTGTCTGTCCTCCTCCCTCCTTCCCTCCCTCCACCTCCCATCTGCTGCCCCGGAGCCTGTGGGGTGTCTTTTTCACTCCATGGCATGTGCGCTTCTGATTGTTGTGGATTCTCTTTTCTTTCTATTTTCCTAAGTGAAAGCGGGGCAGGGGTGGGGGGAGGAGGAGGGGGGAGGCAGGCAGGCAGGCAGAGGAAGGGGGCAAGGAGTTCTCTCCCCCCCACCTGCTCTGAGGAGCGGTTCTGATGTTCCTCAGAGATGGTAAAACTGCAGAAGGCTTGTACTGTAGCTGCAGCGTTGAAGACAGGGAAAGAGGAAAGAACGATTCTAACGAGGGAGCCTTTGATATAGCAGGAACGCCCATGTGAGTGAGGCGGGGGGGGTGGAGTATTTAATGGGACAGTCGAAAGAGGGATGGCTTTCATTCTTTCAAAGAAAATAGTTTTGCATTGCAAGGGAGATTCAAATCAGTTTCTCCCCGCCTCGCCCCGGAAGTTCCTTATTTGGAAGCAAATTCACAGCAATCTTAACGTTATTGTGACAGAAGGCAGGTCCTGTGCCTGTATCGCAGAAACTGATACTCGGATTAAGATTACGTATTAAACTCAAGGTTCTGAAGCAGAACATTGGGTGGCGGGGGAGGGGGCGGCAGGGAGGAATCTTCACCAGGAAATTCAAAGGCAGTTTCCATTTCAAGCTCTCTTGAACCTCTCGGGGCCTTTGACCCATTTCTCTCATTGTCAAGTAGGCTAGGACAATTGCACCTTGGAAAGTTTCTGCGTCTCTTGCAATGTGCAGGCCCGTCCTGAAACGCCTGTTGAGTTTTTTGGGGGGAAGCCAGCCTTGTCTGCTGGTGACCTCTCCAGCCTGCCTCTGTGTCTTCCTCTCGCCAGGATATTTCCTGCCTGAACAGAGATCCCTCGAAAGTGGTGGTGGTGGACTGCAAGAAGGAGGCGTTCCGCCTGCAGCCCTTCAACGGCATGGCTCTGAAGAAGTGGGACGGGAATTCGGACGACCGGACACTCTTCGACCTTGCCGCCTTCCTGAAGAGTAAGGAGACATTCGCCCAAAATAGAACCATAGAATTACGGGATTGTAGAGTCCATCTAGTCCAACCCCCTGCAGTGCAGGAATCTCGGCTGAAGCATCCATGATAGATGGCCGTCCAACCTCTGCTTAGAAACCTCCAAGGAAGAAGAGCCCACAACCTCCTGGGGGAGATGGTTCCACCGTCAAACAGCTCTTGATGTTGGAAAATTTTTCCTGAAGTTTAGTTGGAATCTTCTTTCTTGTAACTTGACTCCATTGGTTTGAGTCCTGCTCTTCAGAGCAGAAAACAAGCTTGTTCTCTCTTCCACGTGAACTATCTAGTCCAGCCTTTCTCAACCTTGGGTTTCCAGATGTCGTTGGACTACAGCTCCCATCATCCATAGCCAGCAGGGGCAGCAGTCAGGGATGTTGGGAGGGGTTTTCCAGCAACACCTGGGAACCCAAGGTTGAGAAAAGCTGGGCTCTAGGTCGTGGGACAACCCCAAAGCGTTTGTAGGATCCTCATCCCTGTCCAAGGGTATTCAGTGAGTGCCTGCTCCTCATATCCATGGCAGTGTCAGGGTGCAGAACTTCAAGGCCAGACAATCTCCTGTTTCGAAACACAGCAAATTTCTGACTCCTGCCGCTGCAGAGAGGAGCTGCATGGCGTGTGGGCACTGCTGGGTGGAATACAGGAAAACCAGGAGGAGACCCATCTTCTGCCTTCTTCACTGCCAAGGCTGGGGCTGGGGAAAGGCTCCCTGCCTGAAACCCTGGAGCAGGGGTCAGCAAACGTTTTCAGCAGGGGGCCGCTCCACTGTCCCTCAGACCTTGTGGGGGGCCAGACTATATTTGGGGGGGGGGAGGAGGGAATGAAGGAATTCCTATGCCCCACAAATAACCCAGAGATGCATTTTTAAATAAAAGGGCACATTCTACTCATGTAAAAACACGCTGATTCCCGGACCGTCCGCGGACCGGATTTAGAAGGCAATTGGGCCAGATCCGGGCCCCGGGCCTTAGTTTGCCTACCCATGCCCTGGAGAGAGTAAACAGTCCTGAGCTAGATGGAGCAATGGTCTGACTCAGGGACATAAGGAAGCTGCCCTCTACGGTGTCACTAATACATGAAATGGGTACATGATCCAGGCTGATTCTCCTTTAATGCTTGTCGCCTCCTTCTTGCCTGGCAGCCATTGCCTTGAGTGGCGTAGAAGACGTCCGGACCGTGCTGGAAAACTACTCCTTGGAAGAGGACCCACTGGAGGCATTCAAGCGCAGGCAGTCACAGCTGGAACAGGTGAGGAGGAGTGCAGAGTCAGGGCTGGGGGCTTTGTCCTTGGGTGGGGGAGGCTGCTACTGCTTTGGTGAAGCCCTTAAACATGGTCAGGATGCTGGGGTTGCAGAGTCACCATCCCAGTCGCTTCGTTGGGAAATCCTGGTTTCCCTGCTTACTTTAGCTTACTTAGAATGTTCTAAGCTCACTACCATCTCGTATGGTGAGGCCAGCCCAGTGGGCAAAAATGCTGCTGGAGAAAGGCCCACACTCAATACAGATCTTAGGCCGAGTTTGGCTTTTGCAGATAGTGGGGTCCCAGAAGATTTTTTGCGTTTCACCGCCATGTCTTGGTTGGTTCCTCCTTTTTCTCAAGGGACGGCAAGTGCCTCAGAGGATCTGCGGAATGCCTTCTCCACGCATTGGCCTAGTTCAACCTCACATTAAACCACAGTTTAAAGCAAACAATGGTTTACTGTGACGTGAGCAGCATGCTGGTGCATGCAGCAAAAAAAATAATTCATGCAGCTCTTCCCCTCCACTGCTGTGCTCCTGCAAACAAAACAAGCACCTGAGTCTGCCCTGCCAAGCCGTTCGATCCTGGGCTTGCGGGTTGTTTTTCTCCAAACCCACCCTGGGCAAGCAACCAAGGTTTGCTGGTCATCTGCACGAAGGCAGTTTAAAAACAAGTCTCTGGCCTAACGTGGCAGGTGAGCCAGGCTGCTGAGTTACTCTGCTAGCCTCCTTGACACGTCCACATGCACGGGAATGGGATCGGCCGGGCTCGGGGCGGCAGCCTTCCTGGATTCCTTGGTGGTGACCAGGCTCCCCTTTGTGTCGCCTGTCCTTTTGCTTCAGGAAGAGCAGCAACGCCTCTCTGACCTCTCCCAGCACAAGAAGCAGCAGCTCTTCCTGGGCTCCCTGGCAAGCCGGCTGTGGCCTCGCTCCAAGCAGCAGTGACGCCGGCGCCTTCGAGGGACAGCCACGCTGCCCGCAGAAACGGACTCCTCGGCCGCTCTGGAGGCGACAGCCACACCTGAGGGTGCGGCGCAGACTTTGCCCCCCAAAGCCAGGGGCTGCAAGTGCTGGCACCCTCCGTCTCACCCTTCCCTTAATTTCCAGCAGCAGTATCCCCACCGAGGCCTGGACCGCTGTGCGCATGGACTGGGATCTCTCTTTTTCCAGGGGAGGAACTCTTCTGGAGCAGCAGGATTTGTGGTGGCCTGTTGAGCAGCCTCTCCTGTGCGCAGCCAAGGGAGTGAGCCTCGCCGTCCCAGCCAGGAAAGGGGGGAGGATGGGGGGGCGCGCGCAGTGTTCTCCTAGATCGCCTCCGGACCGGTGTCTCGCATCCTGCTATCATGTTCCCTTCAGGCTCCAGGCCCTGCTGCTACTCTTCTGGGGCAAACAGAAATGAATGTTGCGTGTACTCTGAAATAAATGGCCATCTTTCTAGCGAAGGCGCTGTCGGGCCCTGTTTCCCCAGCCAGAATGTGTGAATGCGTGCGCTTGAGTCTTCATCCTCTCGTTTAGATGGAAACCTGCTTCCTAAGAGACTCTGCCTCTTTTCCAGCGCGACTTCCCTGGCCCCACCTTCTCCCCACCTTGACATCTCAGTGCAGGAAAGTCAGCTCCAGTCTTCGTCCAGAGTCCAGGTCCGGATGTAAACAGGAAAGGGAGCCAGCTGGGGATATGCTGGGCTAGAGTGGGGTGGGGTGGAGTGTGGAGGGCTGTGACTTGTGGTTTCCCACCACCCCCTTCCCTGTAAATGTCAGTAAAAACCCTCTGGGGCAGGGATTTCTACTGGTGCTCGGGACTGTCCCTCTCAGCCCAAATATATAATACGCGATTTGCTGTGCAAGTAACGGGTTGTTGGACAGCTAAGCATCTTAGGAACACCAGCTTCAGTTGACCAAGTCGCCGGACTCAGGAGAAAAAGCTGGGCAATAGGAGTTGGGTGGGAAACTGATGTGTTGGAAGTGGAGAGGAATTTGTAGATTGGGGTGGGCGGGTGTGGACTGTCTGTAGCTGAGGAACGTGGCCAAAAGCAGCTTTGCCCAGAGCAGCCACCCCAGTAGCAAGAGAGCAAAACTCTGCTTCCTTCCTGCACAAGCGCAACACCTGCGCAAAGATGTGCCGCAACGGCTCTGGGTTGCTGCAGCAGGGGCAGGTGTGATACCTGGAAGTGTGAGTCCTTAGTTCCAGCTTCTCTGACTGTGAACTGGCCGGAACGGCTGCCATGTGCCGTGTGAGCAAACCAGTTTCAAGCCAAAGCACAGAGCATGCCTCCGACCCCCAGCATCTGCGCCCAGCCCACGTGGCACAGAGTGAGGCCTGGTCCCTCTGGGATTAACAGCAGGCCTGGTGAGTCCCTGGCACCAATTCCCTTCCTGGTCTTTTTTTTCCAGGGCAGCTGAAAATGCTGTGTGTGTGTGTGTGTGTTTGTGTGTGTGTGTTTTTCCGCCTTCCTTACCTTATTCTTCTTAGAAAGAATGTAAGGGGGGAGAGAGACACTTCCTGGCAGGAACTGAATCCAGATCTTTCCCACACTCTTCCCCCCCGCCCCTTTCTCCTCTCCTTCCCCCAAAGAAAATCCCTTTCCAGGCTGTCTAAGGTGGGGAACATGAGAGGAATAAACAGCTGGAGGTGGGGGGGTGGAGGCACAGAAGTGTTTAGAACATAAACAGGACGTGACTCTGGAAGGAGGTCTGCATCCCCTCCTGGCTGATTTTTAAATGCAAGGTTACTTTGCACTGATATCCCCCCCCCCCCTTGCAGCCAAACAGCAGGAAGGAGAGGGGGTGGCTTCTCTGTGCGCCGTGTGTGTTGGGGGGCGGAGTAATTTCAGACTTGGGCAGAGGAGAGGTCTGCCTTCCAAAAAGCCATGCGCAGGTTTGTCTGTTTTTCAAAAGCATACAATGCCAAATTAAAAAAACACTGGAAGGTCAGAAATTAACCTAAGCATGCACATCCAGCTACACCATAAAGAGGACACATCCTGCCCTACCAAAATGAAAGATGAAGGCCAATTAAGAGCCAAATCCCTGAGCACTACAGGTAGGCAATGATGGTGCCAGGCAAGGTTTCCCAGGGAGAAGATTGCCACGGCTGGGGAGCCACCACTGAAAAGGCTCATTCTCTCTGGACTTCTTCCTGCATCCTGCATTGGCTGTTAGCGCTTTGGGTAGCATAAATAGTGTGGCATTCGTTGTATTGATCAGTGCTAGGCTAAGCACCTGACCCCATCGTCGTCGTCACCATCGTGATGGGAGAGTTCTGTTTATTATCTATGTATTCCATTTATATCCTAATGGAAAGGTGGAGTCTATCTAATGGTTATCAGTAAGATAACAAGGAAAATAAGGTTTGTTGATGGCCACACAGTCCACACTTTCGTGACTGCCTTGACTCAAGGTGTATCGTACGCGGTTCTCTTCCCATTTTATCCACATAGCAACCCTGTGAGGTAGGTTCAGGCTCAAGGAATCTGGCTGGCCCAAGGTCACCCAGGGAGCATGACTGATCAGGGATTTGAACCCTGGTCTCTCCTGGGTTTTATTCTGGCACACTAACCACTACACCAGAGGGACGTGGGTGGCGCTGTGGGTTAAACCACAGAGCCTAGGACTTGCTGATCAGAAGGTCAGCGGTTCGAATCCCCGCGACGGGGTGAGCTCCCGTTGCTCTGTCCCTGCTCCTGCCAACCTAGCAGTTCGAAAGCAGATCAAAGTGCAAGTAGATAAATAGGTACCGCTCCAGCGGGAAGGTAAACGGCGTTTCCGTGCGCTGCTCTGGTTCGCCAGAAGCGGCTTAGTCCTGCTGGCCACATGACCCGGAAGCTGGACGCCGGCTCCCTCGGCCACTAAAGCGAGATGAGTGCCGCAACCCCAGAGTCGGTCACGACTGGACCTAATGGTCAGGGGTCCCTTTACCTTTACCTTTAACCACTACGCCATGCTGAGGGTTAAGGCCCAGGAGCTGGTTCTGCTGAGGGTGGCTTGGCCAAGGCAGCACAGCTGCTGTGTTGAAAACTATGGACAATCCAGCCTTCACACACACACACACCAGCTGTTCTGCACAGCAGTCTTCTGGGGCTGATAGTCCAAAACAGCTGGAAGACCCCAGGAAGGCTGCATTAAGTGACCCCTAAAAGCTGCAGGTTGCTGAGCTGACGTTTTTGCACCGAATTCAAACCTCACGCTCTGCCTCCAAGCTTGGGAGGCATGAGGCTGCTAATCTGGGATGTAATTGTCCTCTATTTCCCCCCCACACACACACACACACAAGGTTGCAGTTCGACTTGCAGGGCCTGCGTCCTTCCCCACCACCACCTCCGATAAATAAATAAATCCCAGTGTTGCCAAGGTCTTGTCTCATTGCTTCCTGTTTGGCGTGTATAATGAATCCGTTTCCTGCACCTTTTGACATTACCTCACCCCCGGGCTGCTGTTCTGCATCCCGCCCCCGCCCCCCCCCCCCAGCCTCCCATTGCTCACCCAGGCTGGGTTCAGTAGAGCAGAAGCTGCAAGAGAGGCGATTCAGCATGTGAATGAAGAAAATCTGGAGGGTAATATAATAATAATAATAATTTATTATTTATACCCCGCCCATCTGGCTGGGTTTCCCCAGCCACTCTGGGCGGCTTCCAACAAAACACTAAATACAATAACCTATTAAACATTAAAAGCTTCCCTAAACAGGGCTGCCTTCAGATGTCTTCTAAAAGTTTGGTAGTTGTTTTTCTCTTTGACATCTGCTGGGAGGGCGTTCCACAGGGTGGGAGCCACTACCAAGAAGGCCCTCTGCCTGGTTCCCTGTAACTTGGTTTCTCACAGCGAGGGAACCGCCAGAAGGCCCTCGGAGCTGGACCTCAGTGTCCGAGCAGAACGATGGGGGTGGAGACCGTTTAGGGCTTTAAAGGTCAGCACCAACACTTTGCATTGTGCTCAGAAACGGACTGGGAACCAATGTAGGTCTTTCAGGACCAGTGTTATGTGGTCTCGGCGGCCGCTCCCAGTCACCAGTCTAGCTGCCACATTCTGGATTAGTTGCAGTTTCCGGGTCACCTTCAAGGGTAGCCCCATGTAAAGCGCATGGCAGTAGTCCAAGCAGGAGATAACCAGAGCATGCACCACTCTGGTGAGACAGTCACGGGCAGATAGGGTCTCATCCTGCATACCAGATGGAGCTGATAAACAGCTGCCCTGGACACAGAATGGACCTGTGCCTCCATGGACAGCTGAGTCCAAAATGACTCCCAGGCTGCGCACCTGGTCCTTCAGGGGCACAGTTGCCCCATTCAGGACCAGGAAGTCCTCCACACCTGCTCACCCCCTGTCCGCCCAAAACAGTACTTCTGTCTTGTCAGGATTCAACCTCACTCTGTTAGCCACCATCCATCCTCCAACCGCCTCCAGACACTCACACAGGACCTTCACCTCCTTCACTGGTAATCTGGCTGTGCAAGGTTGCATGTTTCGGAAACGAGTGCTGAGCGATTCCTCAATGCTTACCTGTGTGGGAAGACCTCAGTCTGTCCATAGCTCAGTGGCCGAGCACATGCTTTGCCTGCAGAGTGTTCCTGGCCCTGACGGTGACCTTCCCAGTTAAAAAAGGACCTTGAAAGGACATAAGAGGAGGCTGCTGGATCAGGCCAATGGACCATCTAGTTTAGCATGCTGTTTGCACCGCGGCCAACCTTTGGGAAACCTGCAAACGGGACCCAAGCAGAAGAGCTTGCTTGTCCTTTGGCTTCCAGCAACTGGTGTTCAGAAGCATTTCTGCCTCTGACCGCAGGCAAGAGCATCAGCACTGGGGCTACTAGCCATCAATGGCCTTCTACCCGAACTTGTCCAAAGCTGTCCAGGTTGGTGGCCTCCTGTGGCAGGGAGTTCCATAGTTCATGAACTTTGATCTGTGCGCTGCTCTTCTCTGGCAAACTGCTCAAAGCAGCTCACAACCACAAAAAAAAGGTTCACACAAGCTCTTTCGCTAAGAAATAGAAGACATTGAAATACTGTGGTCATATAAATGATAGGCTAACGAAAGCCTTTTGTGTCAACTAATATGCGATAAAATTACAGTAAATAGTCCACTCACAAGTAAATCCTTAACGGTGAAAGGACAGTAATATAATCCTGGAAGCGGCAAAGACTTCCAAACCTAAATGTTGACCTCAGCAACAGCCCCTAATCAACACTCCTACCAGGCACACGAAGAGCAATGAATTTCAGAGTTTCCTGGGAATAGTGATTGATTAACAAACCATTCTGAGAACTGCAGCTGTGTGAGGCTCATGACCGCAATACCTCAAAGGCTGCCTCTTCCCATATGAACCTACCCGGACCCTGAAATCATCTTCTGGGTCCGGGTACCTCCTTCGTGTGCCGCCTCCTCCTCAGAGGTCCGGATGGTGGCAACACGAGAACAGGGCCTTCTCTGCAGTGGCTCCCCATCTGTG